ATTTAACAAATAAAAATGATATATTTTTTAATTTTAAAATATCAATTCATTTTACAAAATAAAATTATTTAATTATGTTTAATAATATATTTTATACTTTTTTTATCATTACATTTACAATTATTAAAAAAAAATTTTGGGATAAGACATTTCAAACATATTTTATGTCGAATAATATGAATTTTATAATTATTCTCATCTTTTTACGTTAATATTTTTTATAAAATAATCTTTTAATTTAAAAATATCAATTCTTTTACATTGTCAAGTTAATTATTTGTTTTATTTTAATTTTTTGTCACGCTTGTTTTTACTTTCCTTTTTATTTAGAATTATTATAACTTTTTCTTAAGATGTTACTATAGCTCTAGTCTATTTTAGATAAATGATATCAATTTTACGATTATTCTCATTTTTTACATTAACACTTATTTTTTATTTAGAATTACTTTTTATTTATAATAATAATTTTTATGTTATCAATTTAATTATTTACGTTATAATAATATGTTTTTACACCTATTCTTATCTTTTCTTACGTTAGAATTATCATGACTTTTTTTAAGGAGTGACAACACTTATAATACACTTTTATGTCAAATGATATATATTTTATAATTATTCTCATTTTTTTACATATACTTATTTTTTGATTGAATTATTTTTTATTTATAATAATAATTTTTTATATTGTTAACTTAATTATTTACATTAAAAAATATTTTTTTTATGCTTGTTCTTACATTTCATACGTTTAGAATTATCATAACTCTTTCTTATGAAGTTACGATAGTTCTAACTTATTTTACGTCAAATGATACTAATTTTACGACTATTATCACTTTTTAATGTTAACACTTTTTTTTGTTCAAAATTATTTTTTTTATAATAATAATTCTTTTACGTTGTTAATTTTATTATTGACATTACAATAGTTTTTTTTTTATGGTTGTTCTAACTTTTTATTACATTTAGAATTTACAATTTTTTATTAAGATGTTACGACACTTCTAACCCATTTTAAGCGAAATGATACCAATTTTATAATTATTTTTTCTTTTACATAAACATTTATTTTTTGGTTTAGAATTATTTTGTATTTATAATAATAATTCTTTTACATCATCAAATTATTTATTTACATTACAATAATATTTTTTATATATGTTTTGACATTTTATTACGTTTAGAATTATCACAACTTTTTTTGGCCTTATGATACTTTTAACTTATTTCATACCAAATGATATCAATTTTACAGTTATTTTTATATTTACATACATTTTTTAAAACATTTTACATTAAATTATATCAATTTTACGATTATTCTTACTTTTGATGTTAACACTTTTCTTTTGGTTTAGAATATTTTTTAATTATAATAATAGTTTTTTATGTTGTCAATTTAATTATTTATGTTACAATAAAATTTTTCACATTTGTTTTTACCTTTTATTATATTCAAAATTATTATAACTTTTTCTTAAGTACTACAACACTCAAACATATTTTATGCCAAATTATACCAATTTTACTATTATTTTCACATTTTTACTTTAACACTTATTTTTTAGTGGAGAATTATTTTTTTTATAATACTAATTTTTTTACGTTACAAATTTATTATGTTTCAATAATATCTTTTTATGTTTATTTATTTGTTATTATGTTTAAAATTATTACAAATTTTGTTAAGATGTAATGATATTTCTAATCATTTTATATCAAATAATACTAATTTTATTATTGTTTTTACCATTTTACATTAACTCTTATTTTTTTAAAATTATTTTTTATTTATAATAATATTTTTTTTACATTGCCATTTTAATCACTTACGTTATAATAATATCTTTTTATGCTTGTTGTTATCTTTTATTATGTTTAGAATTATCGTAATTTTTTTAAAAAGTGTTACAACATTTCTAATTATTTAACGCTAAATAATACCAATTTTATTATTACTCTCACCTTTTTTATATTAACACTTATTTTTTATTTAGAATTATTATTTATTTCTAATAATTATTCCTTTATGTGCCAAAAATACTATTTATGTTACAATAGTATTTTTTATGCTTGTTTCTACTTTTTATTACATTTAGAATTATCATTACTTTTTATTAGGGTATTATGATACTTCTAATCTAATTTACGTCAAGTGACACTAATTTTATAACTATTCTTACCTTTTTATATTAAGACACTTCTAATATATTTTATGTCAAATGATTTCACTTTTTTACGTTAACGTGTATGTTTTTATTTAGAATTATTTTTATTTATGATAATAATTTTTTTATGTTGTCAATTTAATTATTTACGTTACAATAAAATCTTATGTTTATTCTTACTTTTTATTATATTTAGAATTATTATAATTTTTTTCTTAAAGTATTACAATACTTCTAATATATTTTACGTCAAATGATACCAATTTTATTATTATTCTCACTTTTTTATTTTAACATTTATTTTTTAGTTTAGAATTATTTTTTATTTATAATACTAATTTTTTTACGTTACCAATTTATTACATTTTAATAATATCTTTTTATGTTTGTTGTTTCTTTTCATTATGTTTAGAATTATTATAATTTTTTTCTAAGGTACAATGATACTTCTAATAATTTTAGGTTAAATAATATTAATTTTATGATTATTCTTACCGTTTTATGTTAACTTTTATCGGTTTATTTAAAATTATTTTTTCTTTCTAATAATAATTTTTTTATATTGCCAACTTAATTATTTATGTTACAATAATAACTTTTTATGATTGTTGTTACCTTTCATTACATTTAGAAATATTAAAACTCTTTGTTATGGTGTTACGATAATTCTAACTCATTTTATATCAAATGACATCACTTTTACGACTATTCACATATTTTTATGTTACAATACTTCTAACATATTTTATATTGAATTATATTAATTTTACGATTATTTTCATCTTTTTATATTAACACTTATTTATTAGTTTAGAATTATTTTTTGGATTTAGGATAATAGATGAAATTCCAAAAAACCTATAAAAAAAAAAAGAAAAGCTGATAAAAAAAGTAGAAATCGATAAAGAAACAAAACATTAAAGAAAGAAAAAGCTCAAGGAAAAAAATAAAAGATGTCATAAAAAAGGTAATCAAAAGAAGAAAAATCTTAGCAGTTTTAAAATTCTTTTTATTTTATTTAATAAATAATATTTAATTTAATTAATTAAAATTAAGTTAACAGGTTAACAAGCAATTAAGTATTTTTACAATTAAAAAATTAATCAATGGTTTATATTAATTCTTGTATATCTAACAGTTATTATTTAATTACCTTATAATAAGGTCATAAATTTTAAATTTGCTATAAAAGTTCCCATTTGGCTTAAGAACTAAGATTCTTTTGTTTCTTAGTGGTTCTGGATAGGGTTAATAACATAAAATCGATTTCTTTCTTATTAATTATTTAGAAATGGACTATTTGTACCCCAAAAAACTCCCAATACACCCTAAAGAATTAACTAATAAGAAAATTACTTAAATATTATTAGTTAATTACCTTTTTATCCTTTACACTCATTCTCAGTAAGTTACCGAAAATGAATTTCTGGAAACTTTTTCAATGTACTAAAAATTTATTTTCAAAAACTTCTTAACTCCATTAGAAATTTATTTCCAAAAAGTATTGCAATTATCAAAAATACATTTTCGAAAATAATTTTTTATTTTAGTTTCTTTGTTGCAATCTTTTGATCAATGTCTGTCACAAAAATATCAGATGTCTCTTGCTGCGATTTCCAAACATATGCGTTGTTTTAAATCCAGCAATAAAAACCTTTAATTTTTCGACCAAGCACTATCCAGTTAATAACATTTGAAACATATTATCAATTCTAACAAATGTGCATTTGAAAGGAATCACTAATTGTGAAAAGCGCTCGTGCAAGTGGCTACTGCATCATGTGTAGCAACCAATTGTATGAGGTTATGTTCCATTATACGTGGTGCAACAACCAATCTGCACGAGCACCTATTCACACTTAGCAATTTTTCTCAAATGCACATTGATCATAATTGCAAAATGTTACACATATTATTGAACTGATAGTGCCTGGTAGCCAAAAGATTAGAAGTCCATATTGGCAAATTTGTCAATCTGTTGATGATATAATAAGGTCAATTCTTGCATATTGAAAATTTATTTCGTCTTTATTGGTGACCAAAGGTTATTGTGTATCAAAAATCAATTTTTGAAAGTTTTTGAAAGATTTCAAAAATAAATGTCCGAATACCATCAAGAAATATTATAAATACATTTTTGAAAATTCTTAAAAGTTTTCGAAAGTGGATATCTGAAAAAAGATTCCAAAAATGAATTTTTGATATGTTGAAGAAGTTTTTGAACATCTATTTTTAGAAAATTTTTAATAATTTTTAAAAATTTATTTTCAGAATGCTCAAATCGCTATCCAAAATCTTACTATTAAACTTAAAATTCTAAACATTTTGAAATTAAATATAAAATTAGATGAAAAAATATAAAAAATGATTAACTTATAATTCTAAATTATCTATCATCAAATGGGTAACTAGGACTTGATTTGAGACTCAATTTCTAAAGGGTTTAGAGCTTCGGTGAAGAAGAATAAAGAGAGTGTGAGGTGTTTAAGTTTATTAATAAATTAGTATTTTGATTTGGGAGGAATGAGTGTTAATAATAGGGATATAAATAATACCACTCATTATTTAACTTATTGTTTACTTTTCAGCAATAACTATTTTTATGATATCAAATTATTAAAAGTTAATGGTAGAACGTACTTTACGTAAATACCCTTCTTCTTTTTTTTCTTCCCTTTCGGTCATACTAACCAGTACAGGATCAAACTCTGAAAGGGAATCTGAGGAATTGGGCCAAAGCCCGCGCTCAATTAAAAAAAACATCTAATTAAATATTTGTTTCAGGCGCGAGGCAATCTCTAGGAATCCTACTTCGTGTAGGCCTAAGATTTCTCATATTAAGTTGCCCTGTTATTTTTTGCTATATATATAGAGCAATATTAAACGACAAGATCCAGAAACCATCCCTGTGATTTCAAACAACAACTTATAGCCACCTCAAGCACTAATATTTGCTAGACATGGCAGCAGCTCTTGTGTCAGAGGCTTTTATTGATGGTGAAGAGGAAGAGCAAGGAGAAGCCCTACCTTTGCCAATTGGGTACAGATTTGTTCCCGGTGACCATGAGTTGATTTTGGAGTATCTGATGAACAAAATCATGGGATTTCAGCTTCCAACTAATATTATCAAAGACATTGATTTCTATGACTTTGATCCTCATGAATTTCCAACTAGTAAGTTCTTCCTTTTCCTTTGTTTTCCTTTCACTGGAAATTGAGTCAAAGGAAATCCATAGCTTTTTCGTGCTTGTCAAGAATACTTCTGATACATCTAAACTTTAGGCTCAAGGTATCTGTGTCAGACACTTGTCAGATTTTTCTTTTTTTTAACATAAGAGGCCATAGCTTGGATTTGAACCCAATTTGTTGGATGCCACTTCTTTAGAATCATGAATCAACTGAGTTAAACCGAGTTTGTGTTTTCGTTTTTGGATAACTAATCGAAGCCTGAAGGTCTTAGTCAGAATCAGAACAGACTTTTCTAAATCCTTCTGCTACATAAATATTGAATGGCTACCAGTTGTATAGATGGTATACTATTAATTTACGATATTGTCTTTAAGTTTTTTATTGGTAGAAAAAGCTAATTGTTTGAAATGTTTAGGTGATTTCAAGCACGGAATGAAGAAGAATGCAGCATACTACTTCACCCAAACACAGCAAAAATACTCAAAAACTGATCGAATAAGAAGAACTTCAAGATATGGTTACTGGAAGGCTTGTGGTAAGGAGAGGAAAATTAATCGTGGCTCTGGAATTGTTGGATTCAAGAAAATATTTGTTTTCTACTGGAACAACGAAGTAAATTGGATTAAAAATAAGAAAAGCTCTTGGGTCATGCATGAGTTCAGAGTTAATCCTAGCATTGCTCCAACTGATCAGGCACTGGATGACAGCATCAAGGCCAAGGTAAGTATATCTGATTAATGAACATTACCAGTTTTGATGCATAACAAAAAGTTGTTGCGATTTGGCTAATATTTTCCTGATTTTGATTTGTTTCAGATGCAACGCTGCGTAATTTGCAAGATTGAAAACAAAGACTGGAGCAGAGAATGGCCAGCAGAGTCAGCTGCAAACGAGCTAAAAAAGCTGAGGAAAGGCCAAGCTTGTAACCTGAAAATAGACATTCTCAATAACTAGGATCTATAGTTTTTTTTTTTTCTTTTTTTCACATAATCTCTACCCTTTTTCTTCTTTCTTGTTATTGTTCATTGTCCTCTAGGATTTAAGGTAGCTATGAAGTAGGTTACATAACCTGTGCAAGGCAGGGAAATTTGGTTCCTAATTCACTGTTACAGAGAATTTTTATAAAAGTTGATGGCATTACTTTAAAGAAATTTTCTTCGTTCCTAATTGACACCTAGCTTTTCTCTTCCTTGAAAGAAAGCTGTTATTTACTAGGTTATATTGTCCTTCTCTGTGTTTTCATTTCCCCGCATCAGTTTTTTCTGGTTTGCATGGTTCTACCCAGAAATTAGCTCATAATGCTTATTTCATGTAGGCAAATAGATTTGTTTGACTTTACAAAATCGTGACTGTTGATGTTCATTGCCCAAAATTCCCTCTAATTGTTGTATCTGCGTATTTGCCTGTGTGTGGTTATGAAATATTTTAACACCACATGATTTTTTGTATGATTTTGATCATATACAAAAAAAATTAACAAACCAAACATAACAACAAAAAAAAAAATCTTTATGAATATCACCGGGAGGGTAATCAAATTCAAATCTGAATTCTTGGCAGTTTGACATTTGTCGTGGTGCTGACTCTAAAGGAATGAATTCTTTCGCGGACAATGTTGCTCGATACTGAGTAAAGAAGTGAAATACGGCTTGGAGAAGTGAGCTAAAAGGAGTTGGCGTCATTGTGGACTAATTGAGGTTAAGATCGTTGCTTAATCGTTCCTTTGTGACAAACCATCATTGAAGTAACGAAGGAGAAAGGCTAACGGATTGAACACTTTCTCAAACACAAGTTACAAGCTAAGTTAAGAGCATTCAGTGACTGAAAATTTAAAATCCTCTTGATTGGTTGATAATATGATTTAAAAAAGATATTCAAATAAATTTATTTGAATGAACTGAATGGTAAAAAACATTTTAAAGAATGTTATTTTAATAATTCTGATAACTATATTTTATTAATTTATTTTTAAATTTAATTGGTATAATTATAATAAAATTAAAAAAAAATTCAAGCTTTAATTTCATGAAAAAAAAAATGGAATGCTTATCCTTCTTTATTTGGATATTTAATATTAGGGGTTTGTTTTAGTTTTGATGTTTGTAATGGGCCAGCATCCATCACAAAGACTGAGCCCAATAATCTTTGTGTAAGGCTTTCTAAAACCATTTTGCTCCTTTGAATCTCGATTGTCCCGAGCTACCAATTCCATTGCCCAGAAAAACCAGAAAAAAAAAATGGCGTATTCGCGTGTTCTAAAAACCCTAATCAGATCAACAAATTTGGGATCTACGACTCGTAATTTCAGCCTCGTTAGCAGCCAAATCAGTAATCACACTGCCAAATGGATGCAGGTAATTAATCCCAAATTTGCACTTTTTTTTTTTAAATTTCTGCTGAAATCTGTGGAAGATTAAGGTAATCTTTTACGCATTCTATGGGTTTTAATTGAAACGGTTATAAAATATATATAATAACTTTGATTGATTTTTTATTTTGCTTTTTCACATTTTTGTAGAATTTGAGTTCATTTATCTGGCTCTTGACTTACTAGTATGTCAGTTTGATTTCGTTGATTATTATTATTATTATTGGCCGCTAAAAAGCTTAATTTCAGTTTGCTAAAATGAAAAAACAAAATTTTGGGTTTTTTACCCCTTTTTAATTTACTAAAATGTGGAAATTATTGTCTTTAGAGTAGAGGGTTTTTAATGGATTGCAGTTGCCTTATTTTTTTATTGTTTGTGGTGCTGAACTCTGTATATTGACTGTGTTGAAGCCCTTTTAATCTTTGCCTTAATAGTTACTCGAAGAAATTCAGATTTTCAAGTTGATGACCTGTGTTTTTTTGTCAAGTGTTTTACATCCTGTTTGGTATTCTGAATTATCGAAGACGTGCTGCTTATTATAGTTATCAGCGTGTAAAACAATGGAAGCAACATGAAATAGCTTTTAAGCACCAATTACGTGTTTATAGATAAAGTAGAATGCTTGCCAATGTTTTGTGGAAACATATGTGATATTTGTTTACCACCGATTTAGTACTTCAATTTTGGAGATGGCGTTCAAGTTTTTAATAACCTTGATTAGTTGTATATCAGGGACCTCTTTGTTTCCTCTTTCCATCAGGATAATGAAAATCATTATCCCCTTGAAGATTTTGATGAAGCAGTGATACTTATGAATCCCTTTCAAAGGTTTTTTAATATTGTCTGGTCAATATAGATTTTTCCATATACATAATATGAGTTTGAGTTTTATGTCTTTGACATTGTTAAAGTATTTTTAGTTTTGAATAGGTGCATGATGCATCACATAGTCAGTTTGTTTGCCTTAGTGATTTAATGGCTATATGGCTTTAATTATACTGCTTGTTTCTTGATCCGTGTTTATAAATTCCTTGTTACATAGCCATAGATTTGGTGTAAGCTTAGGTGTGTCTCAATATGATTACCTCGTATTTCTGAAAATAATTTTCATTAATTTGTCATACCCATAAAAGTTCAAAGTGCCTAAGAAAAATGGTGTATTTTAGGGTAAAGACACGTCCATGTAACATAGTACATGCCTGATCGTACATGAAATGTTAATTAAATGATTGGCCTTCACTTCCTCAGATACAAGAGGGCAATGAAATGAAGAAAATGAAATAGAGTGAATAATTTTGAATGTTCACTTTTTCTTTTCTGAATTTGCAGGATACAAGCAAGAAATCTCCAATGGAGTTGATCAACGAAGTCCCTCCCATCAAGGTTGAAGGCAGGATTGTAGCTTGTGAAGGAGGTTAGTGTCTGATCCTTATTTTCCTTCACACTTTGTGATAATCTGATTAGGAGATGAATTATGTACTAGCACAATAACTAACCAAAAATCATACTTCATAAAAATAAACAAATGGCTAAGATGTGTTACCGAAAGATAGTTTTCAAATAAAAGTGAAATAATCCATTTTGTTATCCACAAAAGTTAAATTCTTAAATTTAATTGGTCAAAATTTTGTTTGGCATAAATAAATAAGAGGATATAACCTACATAGTTTGCATGATTTTTTATTTTTTTTTTGCTGATGCTCACAAGTTTTCCTGATCATTGTTGTTTCTGGTTTTAGACAATAATCCTGCTTTGGGACACCCAATTGAATTCATATGCCTTGACTTGAAAAAGCCAGCTGTATGCAAGTATTGTGGCCTGCGCTATGTTCAGGAGCATCATCACTAGAAGTGCTGTGATGTGTTTCTCCGGTTATCGGGATAATTGTTATTATGCGGTAGCCATGGCACTTTTCTTTACCCATATTAATTTGACGTTTTTTTATTCACATAATAAGCGTTTGAAGGTCTCATTTGTTGAGGTATTTCCAAAGTAAATTTGAACCCCTATGCTCAAATTTTCTAATTGCATAATTGTGTTAATATCTCATATTTCCCAACTTGGGTTATTGGTTTCTTATTCCCTGCCTATCAATAATCATGGTGATATTTAATTAGATATGAAGGGCCTATCACATTTTCATGAAGAAACCATATTATCAACTCCCATTGCAATGTTTCATGAAGAAACCTCTAGTGCATGTTTGATATTTTGGCTTTGACGAAGAAATTTTCATGTCAAGTGGAGGACTCCTCCCCATAAACTGAAATAATTTAAGAATACAAACCTTAGATAAGAAAAGAAAACATTACCAGGATTGGTAAGATTCGAATACTTTGTTTGTAAAGTGTAGGTTTGAGTCATATTGTTGGCAATTTCTCTTGGTAAGTAATTTGTAAATTCAATGCAAGTCTGTTACGAAAGATCCTAGAAGAGGAAAGCCTCCTTTCACTCTTTTCTGGTATAAAAAAAATTACAGAAATGAAATCAATAAAGTTCTCCTCGAAGGATACAACAGCATGTTTTCATATTTGAGTTCTTTGTAAGTGATAATCATGCCTTTTAATATTATGGATGTTCATTGATGGAGAAGAAAATGTAATGCCAAACACCTTTTGTAAAATGCCATATGTATGATTTCCTCAATACTTCGTACAAATCAAGGCACTTATTCATTCTCTGAAGCTCGTTCAAGTTAGGGTCTTAAAAGTTATGGCAGAAGATAACCATGGAAATTTGGAAACAAATTGAACAGAACACCTACAAATAACTCGGCATCGAATACACTGAACCCCGTTAGGGAAGTGCTAAGGGTCTCCCTATTCTGCCGATACCAACACCCATTGGATGGGGAAAATAATGACAACATGATGCCCTCAACTCAAAAAAATTGGGCCTTTTAATCTGCCAAACTAATAGGTACGATCAAATTTAGCCACCCCAGTACCAATTCAGCAAAACAAATCAAAAATAAATCAACCGCAACCGCCATCTGCAGCTGCCAGTTTTCTTCTCTGTTGATGTTCTGCAACCTTATAATCTACCACTTCACGGAATAGGCTTGGGTCAAGCACACAATTCTCACTCCCATAAACAGCTGCTTGAACACTAGCCATCAGTTTGGCTATTTCCCTTCCAGAAAATCCTTCAGTTTTAGCTGCAGCTTCTCTTAAGATATCATCAGTCAGTCCCTTGATCTCAATCTTCTGCTGCTGCTTTTTGAAAATATTTTGAAGCATGCCAGATGTTCTCGAGCCTGCCTGAGCTATGTATTTGTCCAGATAGAGCTTTAGCAGTTTGAAGCGTTCGTCTTCCCCAGGCAAAGGGAATTCCAATACTTCATCAATACGATCAGCCACAGCTGAATCAAGATCACCAGGACGGTTTGTAGCAAGAGCAAGGACTATGTCCTTGGACTGGTCACCTGTGCGGAAAAGAAGGGCATTGAGTGCACTTCTTTGAGCTTCACTCATGTAGGTTTTGTTCCGTCTGCAAAAAAGTTACACCAACAAAATCAATATTCAAAGCCAACCTTCCAAATAATGAATGAAGTCAATAATGCCAACAGTCATGTGATCTATTGGTAGAGCGCTGGACTCTTAATTTCAGTGATCAACATTCAAATCCCGATATCATAAAAAATCAAAAAGAAAATGAAGAAATATTTTCATCCTAGGATGGTAACTTTTGTGTACAACAATTGTTATCAAGGAAATTCCATGTCTATTTGCAATTGTTAGCGTAGACTAATTCCTTTTCTGGTTAAACAATCATGAAGGAAGACTGTTTCATGAATAAGAAAAAAGAAACAGAATAAATCATTTCATAAAGTAACTATCCTTAAGACAAGGAATTTGTTTTTCTTATCATACAAAAGAAATTGGCAAGTTTTATGCAAACTTAAGCTCCTTGAGACACCATGAGTAAAGGTGAAACTACATATCAACAGTTTTGTAGTTTCACCTTATCGACAAAAGGAAACCTAAAAGATACTGCATAATAACATATTGAATTAAGTCATACAGGTATAAGTTGCCCAATGGGAAAATCATTCACCACTTGGAACTAAATGGTGTCACTTACTCGCACAAAAATGCATCTGCTTCATCAATGAACAGCAACAAGCCCCTCTTGGACTTCTTTGCCCAGTCAAATAACTGGTGTATCTTTGTAACTGCCTGTGGTCCCAGTGGAGCAACATCTCCACCCGTCATCAATGCATAATCTAATCCCTGAAATTGATATAAAATATCAGAGAATGAAAAGAAATTAACAAAAATGCACCAGATTTCAAACATTTGTCATGAATTATTTTGATGCATTCAAACATATGAAACCAAAAAATCAGGTATCGTCCCAGAGATTTAAAAGTTTCACTTTGCAATTTCCTTCCATAATTAACAGTAGATAGATACTTATAAGTTCATAACCAAATGATTGACATTTTTTAGAACTTGCATAACAGTCCATACACTTGAATGTATACCCAAAGTCTAACATTCTGACTGAACTGAATACAAAAGATGGTCAAAGAACCAAAATATGCATTGCTTAAAATAAATTCTAACATTCCTTCAGAATGAAGACATGAACTTTTGCATAATAAAAGATAAATAACTGCTAGCAAAAATGGCATAATGAAGGTATAAGAGCTCATACAGATTTATGAGCCAGTTCTCTTGCAGCCATTGTTTTTCCAGTTCCCGGAGGGCCATAAAAAAGCATGTTCCTAAATGGAGCTTGGTGGGCTTTTGTATTGGCAGTTGCACCAGCTAGCTGTTGAATTCGTTTTTGAAGAGAAGGGTGTAAAATCACATCACCAAACCCACTTGAAGGTGATATTTTATTGCCACTGCGTGATATAGAACTCATAAAACGTGAAAAGATGCCAGACCAAGGATACTTTCCCCTGGAAGATTCTCTGATAAGTGATGGCTGTCCCAGTATTCTATCCACATAGCCCCAAATCACCCTTGCACCTTCTCTGCATCAAAGGAGTGGAAAATGTAGAAGCAATTACTCTCACAATTATGACAGATAAATAAAGTAACAATTAACAGTGGCATATTCTGATAAAAGAATAAAATGACGCACACGGATGGAATATAACTTCTTGAATAGTTTGAATCCAGGTCCTTTTATTTCACTAAGTCTTCCAGGAAATACAGAGAGAACATACAAAAATTCTTAAGGAAGCTTTATATCTAAAAATATGCCTAAATTTTTTTCCTACCATTAGATAGAACTTTGGGCAAAAGAAATAGTTATCCAAGACCCATTCATTTAAAATAAGGAATAGAAGAGTAATAATTGGTAATGACTCAGAATACAATGAATGATTCTTTGCTTCAAAATTTGTGAGACTACACTAGCAAAATAATACCAAAAAAAAGTGAGGTATGAATGGAACACACCCATCCATGTTAGAAAGTATTTTCAAATTTATTCATGCACAGATACATATGCACGCACACGGCAAAATGCAGTTGGAGTATAACTAAAGCAGCCAAGTTTTAAGTGGCGAGTCCTTTGAGTTCTTTTTCTCAGTTCAAAGAATCAATTTCTTTCACAAATTCCAAGGTGGTGTTTCCTCTCATTTGTCCTTACCAAAAGAAAATAAAATCTAGAAATTGAGTTCTCTTATACTCATGTAAGATATTTTTTTGTGTGAGATTTCTTCAAATATCCACAGCCCAACAGGGAACTCAATAGAGAGTTTACAATATCTGAGAACTTGGCATCAAAAACATCAGAATTTTTGTGAGGCATTCAGTTAAACTAGAAAAACCCAATCCCAAGGGTAAAGGAACAAAACAGTAACCATTGCCAGTTACTATTTTACAAATTACAACAATGTTATGTAAAAACAAAAGAAATCTCCTAGGGATTTTTTTTTTTTTGGCCAAAGAAAGAATATCTTTTAGGGGTATTTAAGCAAAGCAAACATGAATCTCCTTAAAGCAGAAACAGGAAATATTCAAGAAAAGTAATTTAATCTATATTGACACAAGAACATTGGGCATTGAATTGATTTAATGAGCTTCTTGAAGCCAACTCACCAACACCTCAAACACATACATGTTAACAGACATGGAAAATACAAATATTCAAGCAAAATCCATCATTTACCTTGTAGTGTAAATTCCCGCTGCAAGGGCAGTCAACCCTCCAACAGCCACAACCAGCTTGTTTTGATCTGTCAAAATGGCTCGCAAACCACCTAGAAAAAAGAAAGATGCGGTCCATATTAAGCCGTACCTTCTTAACCAGTAAAAGATAAACAAATGGAACTTAAACAGCATATCAAAGTCATCATTCAGCTGAAATTCTATTTCAGGCCACCAGAAGAATACATTATTACATAAATAAATAAATAAACAAATGACCCCTTTGTGGTTAGTACAATAACAAAACCTAGAAGCAAAAGTCAATCAGTGCCACAATTTTCTTCTACTAGTTTAGATCATACAGAAACTAGAAAAGACAGAGAGAATGGCAACTGCCTCCTTTTCCCTCCATAACATATGCACAAACTTTTTAAAGTTACAGCTATATTAGAAGAGAATATTAAAAATGAGAATGTCATTTTCAGAATCTATTTGTATAAAGCTTCCTACAATGATTGAGTGCATATTATTGAATTGATACCTCCAATATGGTCAAAAGTAGTATTTATCGCAGCAACCCACTTCTCTCTTTCTGCATTTGCGCGATCTACAAGTATGCGCCGATTAACTTCTTCAGCAAGCTTTGCTTCATGGGCTCTCCCTTCTGCTTCTGCCATAGCTCTCACTCTGATTGTTTCACGTTCGATCTCAGCTTTTTCCCTCTCTGTTTGTCGCCGCTGTGCTTGAATCTGTTCTTCTGTAGCTCGTCGAGCTTGCTCCTGTCTAATTGCTGATTCCTCTTGCAGTTTTACTAGCTCTTGATTCCTTGACCTTTGGAATTCATTTTCTGCCTACAATAACATAAAACATTTACATTCTTTTCCATATATGCTAATACATGGTAACTAGTTTGTGAATACAAAAAGATCAATATATACATGCCTGCATCCTCTTCCTTGCCAATTCATCCTCATAACGAGCCATCTGTGACTTTGTTTGGGCTTGATGCTGAGTTAGCTTCTTCTGTTCATCATATATTACCCTTTGTCTCTCCTGCCAGCAACCAAGTAGATATTCAAAAACATAGAAATATGACATCACCATAACAGACAGTTCCAGATGCAGCATAACATTGGGAAGCAAGTTTAGAAAAGAAAAGGGTAAAGCACACAAAATGTAGAACATTGTGTTTCCAAATCATAGTAAACCTTACTATTTTAATGACCAAAGCCCAGACCTCCCAAAAGCCATTAAGTATAGTAAATAATTGCTGTCAGTACAGAAATAAGGAAAAAGTTTGCTAACAAATTTAAAAAACATATTTTCCTGCAGAGACTCAACACCAGAAGAAAGGAGCTTCACGTGAAAAAACTACAAAATCATTGGAATAACCAAAATTCGCCAAATATATCCATGGAAAAGCTGAAGTAGATAATCAAGTGCTAGCCTTCCCATACTGACTTAATCACACAACTAACCATGCAATGTAATACCAAAAAGCTCCACAGCCCGATGTGAGAATCCACTCAGGAGAATTTATATTAAAAACTAGTTGTAGCTTAACGCAATATAAAACTTCTACTAACTAGAGGTATATCATATGCAATAAGGGAAAGGTGAATTAAAATAGAAAGAATTTCCAGGTTGCAACTTAAAATGAGACTCTCATGCTTAAAGGATTCAAGAGAACACAACAAAACTAAGAATGTCACACTCACCACCAAAATAAATACAATAGAGCAGATTGACCTTGATGTTATTAAGGAACAACATTGGCAAATTCATAATTAATCTTTAAACCACCAACTATATTAATTGATTGACCATAAGGTACCAACATGAGGAAAGAACTTCAGAAGAGATCTTACAGTTTCAGCTTGGGCTTGCATTGCCTTAAATTCTGCAGCTCTTTCAGCCAACTCTGCCTGCCTCGTCTCTTCTTGCTTCTTCATAAGTTCAAAAGCCTACACCAACAACAAATCAAAATTTTTACCACTTTAACAAAATGAACAACCAAAATTACAGAAAATATATATATATATATATGTTAAATAAGTCAATCCTCCTCTGAACTCCGAAAAGGAAAAATCCAAACCAATTGAGTCAGCAACTAAACATTAAAAAGAATATACCGCTTGCATAAACTTTACGTAAATCCCAAAATCCCTTCAAAACCCTTGTAAAAATACAAAGCCAAAGAAACCCACTTTAAAAAACGCCTCAAAAAATCAAAATCAAATCTCTAAAACAACCAAAAATAATAATTAAAAAAAAGGCTTTTTGGAAGCCAAATCTGAAACCTTTTTGGCATTAGAGGAGCTGCTGATTTCCCTCAAGGCCTGGGCTCCTCTCTCTAAAGCCTCAGGATCAAATCCAGCCGAGGACGTCCGTGGATTATCATTCCTAACCCTAACATTCCCAGAAGCCCCCTTATCAGCCGTAGATGCCGGTGAAGCAGACGGCTGTGATTGCAATTGTCCAGCAGAAGACTGAGGAGAACCTGAAGAAGAAGAAGGAGAAAGAGAAGAAAATACAGGAAAATTGAAAGATCCATCAGCATAAGCAACGTTGTTATTGGTTTGGGATAAAAGAGAAGAAGAAGCAGAGCCTGCTGCAAAAGCTGAGATTAGCCCTTTTGCATAAGTTTTTGCCATTTTTGTTTTGAACCAAAAAAAAGTCAGATTGCTTTAGGGTTCTAAGCCGTTTATGTTAGAATTATTGGCCTGAAATTTCAGATAAATTCCCTCTTTCCATAGAGAAAAAGAAAAGTTTGTTGGGAAGAAAAAGAGAGGAGCAAATGAAAGAATAGAAGGTTCAGGGTTTTAGTAGGGTTTGTGTTTCTAGGGTGGAATGGCGATTTTTGGCGGCTGGGTTTTTACTTTTCCTTCTTTGGATTGAACCGGATCCCGGTTGAACCCAGTATAGAACTCTTTATTCATGTATGAAATAGTTTTTCAATTTTTTTAAGAAAAGGATTATGATTATTTTTGTATAACGTTTTAGATATTTCTATACTAATGATACATTGTAACAAGATTTAAATTTTTAATTTAAGTATTTTCAAATAATAAGGCGTTTGGTTTGCTAAATTTGAAATTTCAAAAAAAATTTAACTTTTAAAAAAATTATCAATTTTTGATAAAAAGTGATTTTTTTTATTACGAGAATATGATATTTTTATATTTAGCTCGTAAAATCTCAAATTACATAGTAAATTTTTTTATTATAATATCATTCATTATATGTGAATAACACGTGATAAAAATTATAATTTTTAATTATGTTATTAAAAATAACATATCACAATCATTAAATGATAAAAATAAAAAATATTTTTATTATTTTATTTTGTTAATAACAAAGTCGTCTATTATAAATAAAAAATACAAAATATAATAAAGAATAGAGGACGTCTTTGTTATTATAAACACAATCTATGAGCAATAAAAAATGTTTTTTTAAGAAGCAAGACGTTTTTGTTATATAAATCTCGTAATAAATAATAAATATAACGTTTTTATCACTGTAAATATAGTGTTTGATAAAGAAATAATCATTACGTTTTAATTCATACACAAACATGACGTTTAGTTTTATAAACATTGTTTTTAAACAAACACCGCGTTTTTAGTATTACAAACGCTATGTTTGAGAAATAAATAAGCATGATGTTTAAGTTTAATAAATGCAATCTTTGAATAAATACGATGTTTTAATCATTATAAATGTAATTATATTTTTATAATAAGAAACATAATTATTTATTAGAGAAATTTTATTTTTATCAAATACTATTTTTTTTACATAAAAATGTAGTTAAAAATATCATAAATATTTTATTTATTATTTTATTATTATTTTACACTATCAATTACGTGTCATATGTGAAAAAAAAAAAAACGTGAAGCTTATGAAAATAAAAAAAATTAAAATCCTAAATAAGAAAAATTTTACTATTTTTTTTTTAAAACATTGTTTTTATTATAAATAATCTATTACATATGTAATTGTGTAACAAAAAATGTAACTTTTCATGTCGGATTAAGTCTCAATTTATTTTATAATTTACGTTGATTTTCAAGAATAAAATAGACGATAACAAATTATTATTGAAGTAAAAAATGAAAGAAAATTTACTTTCCTTCAATAATCTTAAAAAACCTCAAAAAGATATAAATTTCTAATTTCAACTATTATTCTTTTTTATTATTATTAAAAATTTTAAAATATCTTCAAAATTAAATACTATTAATCAAATTAAGAAATTAAAATATCAACAAGTGGTTGGTTTAATTGGTTAAAGTTCGTCATCTTCAATAAAAAATTTTGGGTTTAAATCTTGTATATGATCATTTGTTAGGATTATCTCAATATATGACTTACAACCATCTGTCTTTGATTATTATGTACGATATATTTTATCTTAATTTGAGAGACTGAATAATTTATCTACTCTAAAATTTTATTGTTTATCAAAAAATTAAAAAATTAAAATTATAAAAAACAAGATTTCAATCAAATAAGCGAACTTTCTCCAAATAAAAGTTTTATGAGAGAGAGAAAGAGAGGATATAAAAGATCAAGTCAGCTCTGTTGAAAGTCACTTAAAAACTATTTACACTTAATGGTTTAAAAATTTTAAAATTTAAAAAAAAAATTTTCTTTTAAGAGGAGCATACCCTACATTAAAGAGGGAAAGGAGCCGAAGACCAAAAAAAAATTAGTTATTATTTTGAGGTGACATGATCTCATAGTCTCAAAAGACAGTAAAATATATCTTAAAAAATTTCGGACTTCTTAACTGGACGAACTAAGTGAGATCGAACTTTTAAAAGACCGACCGCACCTGATCTGGACTATGGATACCTGTAATCAAAACAAACTTTTTTTTTTAAACGGAACAAGGTGAAATTGGCAAAATATGGCTATATGAATTAATACAAAAGGTGAAATTGAACATAAGTCTTTAACAATCTGGTTCCAAGTGCACACTAAAGGTGTCCATAGAATAGAACCACAGTTTGATCCGATCTGACTGGAACCTAAATTCTCATTGTCTCCAGGATCTGAAGTTCATTTCATAATCACTTCAAATGGACAAGTTATATTTATAAGTGAAGAAACTTCTTCCATAAACAGATATTTATGTTGAAGTTTAAGCCTTCAAAAGATTCTTTCTGCAATGTTTATATAATTAAGGAAGCAATTCAAAGAATGATTTTTCTCTTTGCATACAAGAGAGAACATTACAAGTTCAAACTTAAACTGTCTGTCTAAATCTAATTCCACTCTTACAAGTTGAGCTGAAACCTCAAAGTGACAAGAATGGCTTTGATTTCCCTCTTATTTTAAGAACACCGTCGAACAAATTACAGTACAAGCATGGACAATTTTGAGAAAAAAAAAACTGATATAACATAGGATTGATGGCATATTGATTTTTTTGATTCCAAGATTTGTTTTGACACAGAAAATCTAAGTAGAAAAATCACCGCTGTGCCTGATAAATTGAAAGCCAAATTTGATTATAGAAGGATTTTTCATGGCTGGGTAGTGACTGTTGCAGCCAGCTTGGCTCTGAGATCTTTTCTCAATATCTTTCCTGAAGGAGACTTGGGAATTGCATTAACAAAGTGCACCTTATGCAATCTCTTGTAATAAACCACCTGTTTTGGGGAACAAAACAAAGGGATTAATTCCATACTTGATTACACTCATGAAAGCCGGAAATGTTGATTTCTGTTTGTCTAATTAAGGAATATTTGCTTCATACCTGTTTAGCAATGAATTCTTTGACAGCTTCTTCAGTAAGTTCAAAACCATTTGATCGAACCACAAATGCAACAGGAACTTCGCCAGCAACTTCATCTTTTTGCCTGTTAAGTTGCAGATGGTGTGAGTTAGAAACCGATTAAGCTGTGGCAAAACTACGTATCTAAATTAGAGTAAATGTCAGCTGTGATTCCTAACAGTCGACTTTGCCGGTTAGTAGAGTGTTAGACTCTTAATTTCAGTGATTAGAGATCAATTTCTGATAACTTCAAGGACAAAAAAAACTGGCAGCTCCAATAAAAATTAATTAAACAATTTGGAAAGTACATACGGCACTACAGCTGCATCTGCAATTGATGGGTGGCTCACAAGGAGTGACTCAAGCTCAGCCGGTGGCACCTAAACAACAGAAAAATCAGTGAAAATTATGCAACTTATTAACCAAGGTTGCTGTTGTCAATAGCAAAATAACAAAGAAATTAACATACTTGGAAGCCTTTGAATTTGATGATTTCCTTCACTCTATCAACAATGAAAATCTCATCATCTTCATCCACATAACCTATGTCACCTGTATGAAGCCAACCATCCACATCTATGGTTGTTTCTGTGGCCGCAGTATCATTCAAATAACCTATAATTTGTGTATAAAAAATGTTAAATGGTCCCACGATTTTTAGAGATCAAACAGTTTCGAAGATACATTTTTTACTAAACCTTTCATGATTTGGGATCCACGGATGCAAATCTCGCCAGGTTGATTGTAGCCAAGGGAGCAGCCGGTTTCAGGGTCAACGACCTTAAGCTCTGCATTCCTAACCACTGTGCCACATGAACCAGACTTGGTTGGAAAGGGGTGCTTTGCAAATCCTAGGCACATTGACAGAACTGGTCCAGCCTCTGTCATTCCATATCCCTAGATTTGTCGGAAAAACAATAAACTCAATCCATTGTACAAAGTTCAATATAATTATGTAGATACCATTGTATGATACGCATCATGCACCCAAAAAATAAAACTTTTTTAGTACAATATTAACTTCCAGAAGTGGGAAACCTATGAAAAATGCCCATAAATGCTCATTAGAGATGCAGATGACTGAGCTTTTAAACTTTTGCGTCAAGACCCAATGAAGCCCGCATTACAAGAGGCCGACCCTACACTTGGCTGGCTGGCTCCAAATTCAACAACAATTCCATTATCTTTTGTCAGTTAATGGCTTAATGCTGAGAAGAGAAGCGAGCACCCACTGCCCACTGCCATGCATTCTGATTGGGACCCCATTTATATTTCAGACTGAAAATGTTGCTATCCACCCTTGTTTTTGGGATCTTGCACATGACTTTGGGCAGCCTAATTTTTTTCTTGTTTTGTTGCATGACTTTGGGCAGTTTCAACTTTGTTAAATCATTTTGTTTCTTTTGGTGATCTTTTACCCTTTGTGCATCCATCGTACTAATTATAGTTATAAGCTTTTTAGTTAACCAACTGTCCAAAAACAATTATAATTGCCTTGTTCTAAAGACCTTCTATTTGATGATTTGGGTATTTTATTTATAGGGACAGCTACCCTCATACCACAAAGTACTGAAATTTTGTTCAATAAAAAGAAAAAGGAAAGTAACTAAAATTTGTAATGGTCCTAACCAAAATAGTGCCCAAAGTATCAATCTAGATAAGTTAAATTTAATTAATTTAGATTTTTTAAGAAAAAAATTCTCTAAGATTAAAATAAAATTATCATTTATTCTTTTTTTTCTTACTTAAAATTATCAAAATTTAAATTCTAGTTACTTAAATCTAATAATTTTAAATATGATATGAAAAAATACATAAAAATCATATGATTTAAAATTTTGACACAAATTGTATATGAGTTAAAAAATAAAAAATTATACTTCATATTTAACATGTCAATATAAATTATAATACGATAATTTTTATATTTTATATAGATTTGATACAAAACAGACACGACACTATATACACAAATTATCAAGCCTAACTAAAATTAAAACTAAAAATTCTACCAATATATCCATAAATCTATTTAGATTTAGTATCTAATACACTATTGTGTAAATTTTTTATTTCACAAACAATATTAAAAGATTAAAATATGTTATGTTTTATTTTTAATTAATTTTTAATTTTTTAAAATATACCTTAAAATATATATATATATCATCCTCTTAAATATACTTATGAAATCAAAAAATTTTACAGCAAATTTGATAATTTCTTATCTATTTAACTAATTTATTTCAGTTTATGATAAAAGTTATTGGACCATATATAAGGAAAACACATCCTAGTTCTCAAGAAAAGCCTCTGCACTTTTGGGCTTATATTTAGTTGAAACAATTTTTTTTAAATAGTTTTAAAGATTTAAATGCGCCGCATTTTCGAGCCACAGCATCCATCAAATTCTCACTTTAGTTTAATTGAGGGGGCACGTGGACAAAATTTTGTGGGCTTTATCTCATCTCAAACAAAAGCTTCAGGTCGGCAATGTATCATTAGACTCACGTGACCTCTCAACATTCTTCTTCTCACTTTTACCCCTTTAATGCATATGAAGAGAAATGTTAAAAGAAAAATTAAAAAATAAACATTTTTACTCTTATTAAAACAAATAAATCATTCTAAATTAAAAAAAAAAAAAAAGAGAAACTGATAAATGTGAGCCAAGTGTAACAATTTACAAGATTGTTCATTTTTCTAAAGATATAATTTTTTTTTATTTTTCTATCCACTTTATCAAATAAAGTGTAAAAAATTATAATTTTTTGTGTTTGAAACTTGAATTAATTTTTTTAAGTCCATTTAATATTATCCATATAAATACAAAATAGATTTGTCAAATTTTTGGATTTTGAACAAAATTTTTAAAACTCAAATTTAGTTTGATCTTGTCATAATTATTATTTAGTTAATAAAAAATTTTTGTATTTTAATTTTAATTTTAAAATAAATTTAAAATATTAATATTTTATTCCAAAAAAAAAAAATCTCCCCAACATTAATCAGGAGTTCTGAAAGGTATCGTTCACATATTTAAAACTATTATAAAAGTATTTTAAAAAAAGAAAACTATAATAAAAGCTATTTTTATGAACCCAAAATAAAGTGATGCTAACTCTTTTATGTACAAGCATGTGTCATTAATCTTTAGTCATTTTCATGTAGGTCCTACCCTGCATGAGTGACATCTGAATCTAATTATTTCTTTTGTTTTTTACCAATAATTATATGTTTTTTTTTATGCTCTAAACTATAAAAAAAAAAAAAAAATAGCTTCTATTTCAGAGGCCAGTTTAATTTTAAAAATTTTTTTAAATAAAAAAACTCTAACCTTTTCTTTTGTCACTTCCTTGTAGTTATTTGATTATCAAAATAGGCTTGATTAATTCTCGTAAAATATCAAAACACCCCTACTTTCTTAACCCGCCTAATTTCTATAACCCAAAATCTAAAAAATAAATAAAATTCTTCCATCTTATTGTCTTTGCTCTTTTTTTTTTTATAGATGTCTAATTTTTTTTATTTTTTATATAAAAGAAACTATAATTTTAAAAAATTTATTATAAATATTAAATTTTAAATTTTAAATTTATTATACTTTATTTTTTAAAAATTATTATATGAATCGATTAAATTATTTTTTATTTAATTTTTTAAATATTGAATTCGTAACATTTGTATATTTTAAATTAATTTTTAATTTTATTTTACTTTTCGATAATAAATAATATTAGTGTACATCAATATTATAAAAAAAATTTATAATATTAAATATATAAAAATAAAAATATTATGCTTGAAAGTTAAACAAGAATAAAGATTTAAAAAACGGAAAGAGTATGGAGTAATGATTCTTCATTTCACAAAATTATGAGTCTGTTCTTGCATGAACTTCAGTTAAGAACTGCATTAATGAAAACAAAAAAAAATAAAACGGCTAACCTGACCCAAAACGGCTTGAGGAACCCTTCCCCTGAGAGCCCCTTCGAGCTCTTTTCCAAGCGGGGCAGCCCCTGAAAGTACCGCCCTGATTGAGCTCAAATCAAACTGAGCCACCATCGGATTCTTAGCCAACGCCAACACCAATGGTGGCACCACCGCTGCCACCGACACTTTATGCCTCTGTATCAGCTCCAACAATGCCCCTATCTCAAACTTCTGCATTAACAGAACGGCAGCTCCAGCTCTCAAGGAACACAACAGCACGCTGTTGAGTGAGTAAATGTGAAACAAAGGCAAAACACATAAGACAACATCGTCATGTTTCAAATAAAGATTAGGGTTCTCTCCATCTACTTGCTGAGCTACGCTTGTGATCAGGCTTTTGTGAGTTAAAACCACTCCTTTCGGTAACCCTGTTGTTCCTGAAGAGAATGGTAAAGCTACAGGGTCATCAGGGTCAATGGAAACTTGAGGGATCTCATTCTCATTTGCCTCTGATAACACTGTGAAATGTAAACAGTTTTCTGGAGGGTCATCGATGGTGATCACCTTGAAATCTTCACCTATTTTGGGGAAGTTTTCATTGTTATTGGTGCCTTTAAGCTTGTCTACGTATTGGGATTGTGTGATTATGAGTTTGGCTCGAGCAGCTTTGAATTGCTTGAAGATTTCTGTCGATGTGTAAAAAGGGTTAGCCGTAGTGGAAACTGCTCCTATCATGGAAGCTCCCATGAAAGAGAAGACAAATTCAGCACAGTTTTGCAGGAGAATCATGATGACATCGCCCTTTCGAATGCCTAAATTGGACAAACCAGTTGCAGTCCTTTGAGCAATCAAGTGAGTTTCGGAGAAAGAATAGGTTTTGCCAGAGGATCCACAGGTCAAACATGGTTTATCAGAAAAACCCAAGTGGCTTTCAAAGCAGTAAGTATGGAGAGGCTGGTGATTTGAGATTGGAATGTCAGGCAATTTGGACCTGAAAATGTGATCACCAGCAGTTTCAGGCGAAGGTTTTGACGGAGGAGGAGACAAAGAAGGAGAGAGCTCAGGCTTTTGGGGTTCAACAGGATCAGCAATGGATATCATGGTCATTGGCTTTGACGGGTGTCTCTTGTTTTAATCTGTCGGAATAGTTTTGCTTTTGTTCGTGAAATGGCAGTAGAAGAGAAGGAAACAGGAAGAGGAGAGAGGGGTGGCTTAGAGGGGAAAGCCAGGAAAGAAATGAGTAACAAATATAGGGGAAGAGGAGGGGTAGGTAGAGCATATGGCTGAGCGAAGTGGGTGGATTTGGGACGGAAAGTGGGGTATCTAAAGCATGCCCATCTCTCGTTCAAATAGACACCAGACACCCACGGCCTTGTTTCTACATCAAAGCTGCCCTTGCCTCCTCCTACTTACCTACCTCCCTCTCCTCACATCTTGGGCTTTTTGGCTCTTTCTTGCTACTGTCGCACCTTTTCTTTGTTTGATTCATTCATTCCAAACTACGTAGTAGGTAGGGTTGGTACGGGGACGGGGGTGAGTTTTGTTTATTTCGAATTTGATTTGATTTTATTTATTATTAAATTTGAATTTGATTTTGATTCGATATCATATAAATCGTATTCGACTTCGATTCGATTCGATCTGAAATTAATAAAATATTATTTTTTAAATAAAAATATTTAAAAATATCATTATATAAATATATAAATATAATTAATTAATTAAAAAATAATTTTTTATATAATATCAGGTCGGATTGAATTTACCTAAACTCCGAATTCGATTCAACTTCGATTGTTTCATAACTTTACCCGATCCAACCCAAAATTCGAATTTTAAAAAAAAAAATTATTTTCATAAAGTCGGATCGGATCAAAATCTGTCTGAGACGGATTGGATTGCCAACCCTAATAATAGTTCTTGAGAACTCGAGGAATATGATTACTTTCTAGGATTTGGTGGCTTTTATTTATCACTGTTTTTTTTTCTCATCTTAGACATTTATACACAATCCGAAGACATCTTGCAAGTAAAATTGGTGACGTAACCAAGATTAGATAGTAACTTTTTATTTATTTTTTGAGTTACGAAAAGTCCGAACTTAGAAATTTTTAAGTTAAATTATATAATTAATCCTTATATTTATATGAAATTTGAATTTTAATATCTATAAAATAATTTATAAAAATTCGATTCTCTTACTAATTTAATTTAATAATATTAATCCAATTGATAACATTATTACTTAATTTTCGTTAAATTAATTGACATGATCATTGATTATATTGACGTGATATTAACTTACTAATGTGATAATTATGATTAATAAAATTAATTATTAAATTATACAAATGATTCATGTATTTATCAAATTTTAAAAATTTAATCCTTATACTCTAGTGAAATTTGAAATTTAATTCTTATACTTATATGAAATTTGAAATTTAGTTACTCTAATATAAAAAATATTTTGAATTTTTAAAAATTTTCTATTTTTTTAAAACAATAAATTTTAAAAATTATTACAATATTCTCTTATAATATTATATCATAATATTAAAAAATCTATCACAATATTCAGTCACAATTTTCATATATTGTCACAAATTGTTACAATTTTTTGTCATCTATATAAAATCCTATTATTTTTTCTGTCACTATTTCTTGTTACATTATCGTAAAATATAAATCTTTTATTAATTTTGTTACACTTTTTTCTGTTACAATTGTAATATATTATGGTCATATAAAAAAAAATGTTGAACCAATCTATTAAAAATATATCACAAATTTATCAATATATGATATAAATTTGTTACTATCTAATTTTAATAAAATTATTATTTTTTATTAATTTATCTAATGAATTAGTATTATAATTACATTTTAAATTAAACCCTATTTAAATGATTTTTTATAATTAAATATAAGTTCAAGATTCTAAATATATTAAAATAATTTACTATACTTAATGTGTGTTGGTTTTAAAGTTAATCTTATTATTTAATTTAATATAATTATTTAAATAATTTTTTTTAAATCGAATTAATTGAAAGTTCTTATTATGATACATGATATTAATGTTTTGATTTATCAAATAAATCATTTTTTTTCTTTCATTTTTTTAGGATTTAAAGTTTGTTCTTAAAATTGATAGGAGCTCGTCTATTGTAAGAATCTAGATTTGAATGTTTTATTTTGTTCAGTTGAATGGAATGATCATTTCATTCATAGTCTATTTTGGATTCATTACAAATGCAACTCTATTCAATAGTTTGATTTATTATAAATTTTGTTATATGATATATTTATACTAATTAAAATAATATTAACTTTCATATATTAATTTAAATTATTAATATTATAATTGATTAATATAAATTATACTAATATTATTAATATGATATTATTAACAATTAATTATATATAATAAAAACTAATATATTAAAGGAATTAAAATATTTTTAAAAAACAAAAAAAATCAAAATATGTTTTATATTGGACAGATTAAATTTCAAATTTTGTGTGAGTATATGAACTAAATTTTAAATTTTATGCAAGTATAGATATTAAATTTTAAATTTAGTATGAGTACAACGACTATTTATATAATTTAATAACTGATTTTACTAATACCAATTATCGCGTTAGCAAGTGAATGCCACATCATAAAGATTAATGTCATGTCAATATGATCAACGGTCACGCCAACTAATTTAATAGAGAGGAAGTAATTTAATGAAAATTAAATAATACTATTATCAATAAGATTAATGTTATTAAATTAAATTAGTATGAAAATTTAATTTTTGTAAATTATTGTATAAAGACTTTCAAATTTCATATAAGTATAATAATTAATTACATAATTTAATTAATTTTTAAAAAATTTAATATTATCAAGTGAATAAAATTTATTTTTTAAAATTTATATATCATATTAACAATGTCATGTGACATTATCATATCGATATGTCACATAATACTTGATAACTAATGTGATATTGTCATGTTATCATATCGATAAAAATTAATAATTAAATAATAAAAAATATTGACTAAAATTTTAATAATTAAATGAATACTTTAAAAACACAACTATAATTAAGTTATCAACGGTATATTTTATCCTAAAAATATTATAATAACAATGTTCAAATATTTAGGTCAATAATAACGGCATGTATCTCGATCATTAAAAAAAACTAAGTTAAAAATTCAAATTACTCCCCAGTGAAAAAGATTAAAATAAGAGGAACAATAAAAATGACTAATGGATTACTTTTCTTATCGTCGGTGTAACGCAAATGCTGGATCACATGTTTGGTTTGTAATCTGTTTTGGTTTTGCATAGTAACTTGAATTATTCCCAGCTAAGTGTGGGGTTTTTTTAAAAAAAATTTTATAAAAATAATTTTAAATTTAATAATAATATAAAATAATTCAGATTATATTTTATTTTTCCCCACCACTTTCATTATTCATTTTTTGAGGGTTTAATTCTAAAATTATATATTTCTCATCCCATATCCATATCATCTTTTTATGGTATTTAATTTTCAAATTAAAAAAATTTTAAAAAGGTTTTGAATCCTAAATTTTTTTTAAAATTTTTTTTACTTTCCCTTTTATGTGTGTGATTGTATTATAAAATTTTTGAAATTTTTTTTATGATTTATAGATGGAAAAGGTATTTAATGAGTCTATATTAATATTCTGTTTGGTTATTTATGTTCTCTTAATCACAGATTAATAATTAGTTATTCAATTGAAGATGAATGGGTAAAAGTCTAAATTCAAAACTAGATATTAGTCTTTCATCACATATTAAATATGTAGTTTGATTTTTTTAGGAGAATGGTAGTAAGATGCTGCTGCTCTTGTCGTCTAAGGAAACATCTCGCCCATAATTTGAATAACTCTCCAATTTTTTGGTATTTAACATTAAATTTTTTTAAAAAAATAACACTAAAACTAATATTCAAAGAAGATAAATACTCATTTGACTTTGTATTATACATTTTTGGTTAGTTTGATATATAAAAAAATAGTTGATATTTTAATTTTTATTTTGTCATCCACTTTGGTATATCGAATTAATATAATTAATTAATTGGTTAAAGTCATATAAATATCTAATAAGATGCTAATACATGTAAAAAAATAAAATTTAGTCACATCATATATTATCACTTTAGCATTGAAAGAAAATTTTTAAAAATTAAAAAATTTAAAAAAGTTTAAATTTAATTAAATTTTGAAATATTTTTAAAAATTAAAAAATTATGATAATTTAAAAAATTTTAAAAATCTCAAAATTTTAATAAAATTTCAAAAAATAAGAAATTAAAAAAAAACCAAAATTTTAATAAAATAAAATTTCATAAGATTTAAAACAATTCACAAAAAATTAAAAAAACTAAAAATAAAAAAATAAAAGTTTTTGGAAACAGTTTTAAAATTAAAAAAATTATTGAAAATTAAAAAAATTTCAAAAAATTTAAATGATTTTTAAGAATTTATAAACGAAATTAAAAAAGTTATGAAGATTAAAAAAAAGCTAAAAATATTAATAAAAATTCAAAAAAATCTGAAAATTTTTTAAAATAAAAAACTTAAGAGTTTTTATTTTTTAGAAATTTTTTAATTTTTAGAATGTTTTAGATTTTTAAAAATTTTTAATTTTACAAAGTTTTTTTTAATTTTTTAGATTTTAAAAAAAAATTAGATTTTTTGTTTGAAATTTTTTAAAATTTTTGTGAATTTTTTTAAATATTAAGAAATTTTTATTTTTATCAAAATTTTCATTTTTTAATTTTATAGAATTTTTGGATTTTTATCAAAATTTGGAGTTTTTTTATTTTAAAAATTTTTAGGTTTTTTTTTAATTTTTTTTAGTTTTCTTAAATATTTTAATTTTTTTAAATTCTTAAAATTTTTCTTATGTAATAATTTATAATATGGAATAGACATGTTAATTTTGCCATGTCAAAAAGTTAATTGATGACGTAATTTAGGATATCAAAATAGATGATAAAATAAAAATTAAAATATCAAATTAATAATTTTATTTTTTAAATACTAAATTTATAAAAAATATATATAATATAAAAATTAAATTAGTATTTAACCCTATTCAAAATTAATTAATCTCGTCGATGAAGGCAATAATTAGAGTTTATTTGAATCTCTCTCCAATTTCTATATTTATTTTTCTGTATATTTTATATTTTAAAATTAAAAATTAAAATAATAATTAAAAAAATTAGAAAATACTATCAATGGAAAAACGGTCAATTGACAACAGTTTTTTTTTTTTTAAATATTCTAACTTTTTTCTTTTCTTTTGGAAAAAAAAATCCAACTTTAAGGCAAATTTAAAAAAAAAAAAAATTTAAAAGTATTCCAGTTAGGTTGTTGGCTGTCACGTGGCAGTCAACTAATCTCTCATTTTTTTTAATACTTTTAATTTTTTATTGGTCAAATTTAATACTTTAAATTTAAAAAAATTATAAAATAATAGTTTCTTAAAAAAGGGGAAAAAAAAAATCATCCCACGAGGATTAGTTGAGCAAACACTTGAATTATTCTTTACTCCAAATGAAAAACATGGCACATGCTTTTAGAAAAAACCCATACTACATAAATATATCTAATCCTTTTCAAGTCTCCGGGTGAAAAAGCACATCTCTTTTTTCTTTTTCTTTTTTTTAATTGTTATTTTAATAGAATAATCAAGCACATGCAATTTATTAATGAATAATTTTTTTAAAATATTAATTTTAATAATTAATATTTATTCATTAATAAAATAATAATTATATGATTTATTAACAATGTATAAAATATATATTGATATTGTATCAAATATAAATTCAAATAAAATTTATATTAATGAAATAAATAAGATAATATCACTTTATTAATAAATAAATTTTAAAAAATATATTAATTTTTATAAATTTATTTTAATGGAATATAAACTTTATATATACATATATATATGTCCTTACCAAAAAAAAAAAAACAAGGAAAAAACTACGTTATATGTAAACAAAAAAAATCATAGAGTTAACGCAAGTAATACCATAATATCAAATTTTAATTTTAGCATACAGCGACGGTAATTTTTTGATGCTACAATTCAGATTATATAAACTATCAGGGGTATGATGTTTCTGTGACAAAATTTAAGCAATATATAACAACCGAAGAAGAAAAAAAAAAAGTTATGTTTGTACGTTATGTTGGTCACATTAATCATGATGTATTATTTATTTTAAGTGTAAGATTTTTAAAAGATTGGACTGCCCTTGCTCTTACACTAAAGTAACTACTTTCTAGCTTGGCATTTCATGTCTTATGGACTTTAAATGATCTTGGATGCTTTTGAATAAAAGATTTAGAGGAAAGATTTTATTTGGAGAGAAGCTTTTAAAATTTTAAAATAAAATTTAAAATTGTTAAAATTTATTAAATTTGAATAAACGATTTTGGACGGTTCAATTTTTTTTTTTTTTAAATTCCAACTCAAAAAGTAGAATTAGTGAATTTTTTTGGTTTTTTAGTACTTATCATTCTTGTTATCATTCTTGTTGGAGTGTATATTCGATTTAGGGAGTAACCCTGATTTATTCTAAAAATAAAAAATTGATTTTTTATGATCAAGATCACAAATTTTATATTTACCAAAGAATTTCATTTAAAAATTATCATATGAAATTAAAATAAATAAAAGCTTTTTGAGATAACCCAATTTTTATTATTTCAGTTCAAATACGATACCTTCAAGCTTTCGAATTAAAGAGCACATCTCACTACTCACTTAATATAGGCGTGCAATTATAATTTTAATGTCCCATGCTGTCACTCATATATCTAAAGAAATGCAGTGGATCATTATCAATATCAAGCAAAATAATAATTAAAAGATTTAAAAAATTACTGTAGCTGAAGTTGATTATATGGTCGAAGGTGTGTCGATTGACACAGAGGATCAAGGTTGGTTAGGCAAATTAGTTTTCTAGGGTTTTCAAAAATGATATAGGTGTAAGGAGGTTTTGGAGACAAGGATTAGCTTATGAGAGGCTAGCTAGAAATAGCTAATATGGAGTAATTGCCAGAAATAGCTAATAAAAGAATAGAATTTGCAAGATGATTTGAGATATGAAAATAGGGGAATGGAGATGTTTATTTATAGGCAAAGGTGTGTAAAACTAGGATTTGTAGGGTTTTGGCATGAGGTTTTACCTTATTGATATTTTTTGCGAAAATCATCACAATAATATAATTATCATAATAATTTTATTATTAAGATGATCTTAATATTTGTAATTTAAAATCATTTTATTTTGTTAACAATGAGTAATTCTTAAGAATTAAATATTATTATGTTTGGTTTTATTAAAAATTAAATATTATTTTGTTTAAAAGTACAAAAATAATCATGTATATTATAATAGTTACATAAATTAATAATTTTAAGGTTGTTTAAACATAATAATTTGTAAGATATTAGTAATATTTATTTATTTTATCATAAAATATAATTAGATTATTAAATTAATAAATATATTTACTGATAGGCAAATTGATTTTTATAATTTAAATTATATAAAAAATATTTGAATTAAAAAAAACTAATTTATTAAATTCATAATAAAATAAAAACAAAAATTATATTATATATAAAATATTTAAAAAATTACTCAAATTATTTTAAACTTGAATATTGATTTGAAAATATAAAAATTTATAATATAAAATAATTACGATACACAAATTTTTAATTCACTTATTAAAAGATAAAATTAAATAGTATTAATTTTATATATCACTTTAACTAAGTGATAAAAATTTCTTATCATTTTATATGTAAATTAAATTATCTTTTAAAACAATGATTTAATTATTCTTAGTAATTTAAAATTATCATTATATAAGATCATTAATTATTTATCAAATATAAAGATTACATAATTTTTAAAATGACATTTCATATCAAACATTATCTAAATATTAAATTAAATCCTAAAATTAAGCACATATCAAACCTTCAATTTTGACTTTTGGTTTCTTGCGCCCAAACTTTACTTGTAATCACACCTATGTGATAATTGGAACAAGTAGAGTGGATCAAACCAAGTTAAGTCTGTCAGAGTTGATTTTTCATGCCACTTTCACTCCTTTTTAGGTTAAAATTAATTTATTGGAATTCAATTTTAAGAATGCAAGACTTCCTAAAAATCTATATCGAAAAGATCCAAATGATATCGGAAGATTTAAATTAAAGTTTTATAACCAATTATTGAAATCTCAAGAAAGAGATCAAAAAAATTTCTCCCAAATCTTGCCCCTTTTGATAAAACCCCAAATGCTTATCAAATTTGGTTTACCAAAATGTAGAACAATTAAAATCATGAGCATTTTAGTTATAATTTTATTTATTATAATCATGTTATAATAAAAAATTATGTTAAAAATTTATTATTTAAAAATATAAAATTTACATAATTTTAAGTTATAATTAATTAATATATATTATAATAATTGTTAACGACATGCTCTCTTGATAATTGACATATATATATATAATTAATGTCAAAAATAATGTAACTAATAAATTCATTTAAATTTCACTATTCGTATATTCGTATAGTATAAAATATATATTTTTTATTTTATTAAATTTAAATATAATTATTATTAAAATTTTATATTTTATTAGTTTTATATACTATATTTATATCATATTTTAAATTATAATGTATAATATCATTTATTGTCCGTCCAGCAATCTAAGCAACCTGTTGTAATCAAATCACCAACTTGATCAATAACCAGAGAGAAAGCCTTCTCTGAAAATATTCATTTTCATGCATTTCTAGCCAACCGTATAGACCTGGAAAGCAGCCAAAAAAAAGTCACCCAGGTTTCATTTTCGAGAAAATCCCAGCTAATTAATCAGAAGCATAGTTTCCAGGTATAAAGCTGAGACTTGAAGTCCTGCCTTGCCACACACGATAAAAAATAAACAGATGTTGAATAGTCTCCTCCACACTATTTTTTTCTTTTTCATTTTAGATAAGATAATTTATATATTTATATTTATTTATTTTATTTTAACATATATAAAATTAAAAAAAATTATTATGTTCACAATTTATATTAATATATAAAGTTTTTATCAAATTTATATTATATTATATTTATAAAATTTTAAATTATTATATGTTCATATTTTTTATATTATTTTTATATAATATCATCATATTATATTTTAAATTAATAAATTTTTTCTTTTGGATTAATATATTTAATATAGCACAAAATTCATTCATAGTAAGACTTGAATACGAGATATTGAGAAATCGTATCTTTGTAATTAAACCAAAACTTTATTACTATTTTTGTTTTCGGTGAAGAGGAAGCAAAACAGTTAGAACTCAACATCTCTATTAATAAAATTTCCACCCCCTCCCCCCACCAAACTATTCACTTTTCATTTGTACAAAAATGCAGTTAATGCTATAAGATCAGGAAACTTCATAATTTTTGACATGCCTCAAATTAGATTCTTCGGATTAGGCTATGATCCTGAGTATTTGATTCAATGATTTATGCATATGTTTGAATTAATTTTTGCTCAATATTATTTAAGGGAAAAAGGACATTTATGGCAAAACACCAATGAACTACAATCATACATTGAATCTGATATATGAAAATCTTACCAAGCATCAGTAAGTACATGTACAATTCTCAACATTTAATCAAAGACTATATAGTTAGCAAGTTTATCAAATATTCATAAAACTTTCAAATGGAAACACCGATCATTGAAACTACTAAAAGAGTCCCCATAAATTTAGACAGTTTTCTATCGGACAGAAACTGAGAAGATCCTGAACTATGTTGGCTGCTGTCAGATGGTTGCGGGGCAGGCACAGGAAATCCATCAGGGAAAGGAAGCATTGAAACTGCTGATGGTGGTGAAGCCACTGGGGAGGCTGATGCTACAGAGCCTGGGTGTGGGTTGTTAGAACAAGTAGGTAGAGATGTGTTACTTCCTGGCGACTTCACTGAAGTCAACACCCCATCAATGCCATGGCACCGGATGGAAGATCCTGCTGTGCATATATTCGGGCTGATGATTCTCACATTGTTGAGGAAGAAACTTCTCCTGCCACCACCATTTGAAATACTGAGCATGTACTCAGGCATTGAACTGGGAAGAACCGAACCTGTTGGAACATATTGAAGATGCTCAAAAAGCAAAGGAGAAGGGACTGAATGGCGAAGCAAGAAGCTGGAAACTGCATTTTGTGGAATTGTTGCTTTTGACAACATCCGATCATTAGGCATCAAGAAAGTGACATTCCCGAGCAATTTTCGATCACGGGGAGACATGTTGATCAGCATGACAAAGGTGAAGTAGTTAGCCTTCTGCATTTCTTGAATAGCGACACTGAGATCTTGATCCTTTGGAGGAATGTTCGTAGACGTTGTTAATTGGAAGAGTGCCATGATCACCAGAATCAAGGTGATTATGTAAGTTGCCATCAGATCGGTGGTCGTGGAGATCAGCTGAGGAAATTTCTCTTGGGATTTTCGTGTGTTGTTAAAAAGAGAGTATGGTTACTTCGAGGAATAGATGATGGCTTGGACATGCTTTTGTGCTGCCTCAACCACTGACCTCACACTTCCTGCATGTTAATTTAGGAGTTTTCTAAGACAGAAGTAGGATTACGTTGTATGTAACAAGTCTTTGCTATTCAAAACGTTGCCGTGTATCATTTTGAGCCATTAAACACAAAAACCATGAAAAAATCGGGCACTAGAGAATGGAAATTTAGGAATACGGTAGCAGAATTGACAAAAGAAAACAGCTAACAGCAATTAGGGGCGTAAACGATTAGAATGTTCGTGACCAAATTTGGTTTATGATCACCTATGTTCACTTATTAAATTTAACAAATAATTATAAATAATATTTCAAAATTCATTAATTAAACGAATATATCATCGTAGAATAATAAATTTTATTTATATTAAATTTGTTTACATTTAAAATATCAACAAACAGAACGTTTAATAAATAATTTGTAAACAAATTTTGTTTTTTATTTATTTATATTCGTTTATTAAATTTAATAAATAATCATAAATAATATTTTAAAATTCAATAATTAAATAAATAAATCACTAACATAAAAATAATCGTTCATATTCAATTCATTTACATTTACACTCACAATCTACCAAAATAATAACGAATGCATAGTTACATGGTTAGACTCTAAATTTAATACATAATGAGGGTCAAAGTAATAATACACATTCAAGTGAAGACATAAAAGTAAAGACGTAAAATGTGCAAAAGAAAAGGTGAAAAACCTAGAGCTGCATGAGGCATGGTTAAACAACAGTGATTGAAGCAGGAAACTAAGCAGAGTAGCTGGAGGGGGAAACCATGACTAAACGGTGTTAAACTTCATTTATTTTTTTGCATTAGAATGTTTCAAAACTAATCATGGTGCATGTCAATGAATTTGAAATAATTGTTGTATACATACCAAAACTTTCAATGAATAAATTTACAAACATTAATTTATCCATTAAACAACTAATTTGGTGTCATAAGAAACTTATTCATGAATATTTTCAAATATTAAGAACAGAAAAAGAATGATTACAAATATTAGGATTTGAATCCAAAATCTCTTAGATAAAAAAATAAAAAATAAAAAAAAATCATGAGCTATTGAATACTCCATGTAAACATCATACAGTAAGAACAAAACAGCAGCGAAACCAGTTTATTCACTGGATCCCACCCAACCTCACTAAAATTGCTGCAAGTTACTGCTAAAGTATATCCAACAGGCACATGATATAGAACATGCCTAGGTTTTTCACCAGCAATCAGCTTGTACGGAAAAAAGAATAAATAAAGGAATATCATTGAATGGATTCACCTAAACGTAAAGAATGTGCTATCAAGGGAACTGGAACGAGCCTCCAATTTGGGTAGAACTAGATGGGGGATTGATTGCCACCCAAAGGAGGGATATGGTGATGGCAATAAGACCTGACCACACAAAAACAATGGTAGGTGTCCTCCCTCTTCTTCCCATAAGCCCTTTGGCAAAAGGATAGAGATGAGCCAAAACCCAGAAACTGAAGAAGACTCCACCTAGTAGACGACTCCACTGCGGAATAACACTGTAAATTGTTCGGCTAAACCCAACTGCTATTGCTATTAAGTTGATCATCATGATCGTGATTGGAGGTATAAACAAGGAAGTCCATTTGACAATGTAGAGATCAGCAAACTCATCATCCACATCATCTCCCCCTGATTTTGATGTTAAGGTGAAAGAAATCTCAATTCCGGCAATCACTTTCAACAAGCCCTGAAGCACCGCAGCAAGATGTGCACTTGTTCCCCCAATCAACCAAAACTGCTCATTTCTCCACCATTCTTCTAACGCAATGCCAGACCACTTAATTTCTAGCACTGCTAGCAAACAAAGAGTCACTGTGATGATGAGGAGGTAAGTCAGGAATGTCACATTGAGGGTCTGGACAATGAACTGGCCAGAGAACAGCGAAAGTGCAGGGAGGAAACAGTAGACAATCAGGAAAATGGAGGTGAAGGGATAGATTCCAACATTAAGATATGCAATCCTCTGCAGCAACTTCATTCTTGGACTGGCAAGGAGAGCATTGTTACGGGAAAAGAAAATCTCAACAGAACCAGTAGCCCATCGCAGGACTTGGTGAAGCCTATCAGTGAGATTGATCGGAGCAGTTCCACGGAAAGCATCTCGCTTGGTCACACAATAAACTGATTTCCATCCTCTGTTGTGCATCCTATATCCCGTGACCACATCTTCAGTAACGGACCCATAAATCCACCCAACACGGTTTCCCCACTCAGTCTTGTCCTCATACCAGCATGAAATGACACTGATTGCCTCTGCAACAGTTGAGGCATCAAGAAGTTCACGAGGAATGGTGAGAGCACCAGGTGGGCGCCCATTCTTCACGGCTGGATGATCTGCGAGGGGACGACCTTGAAACTCTGCCACTGGAATTGAATCAATGAGAAACATTGAATTCCCAAACCTCTTAGGAAGCAGGGAGAGGTTCATCTCCTCATCATCAGAATCACCCATTCTCAGAGCATGATTTTCCTCGGAGGTGTGTGCCATTGAGGAATGCTTCTTGTTACGACCAAAAAAGCAGCAACTGCAGCAACCAGGATGGTGTTCTTTTGATCGAGGTGGGTCAAAGCCATAAAGGGCAATCCTTCGAAAGAGGCATCCAGTTCCGACATAGACAGGGCCCATAAGGCCATCAAGGGCTCGCATATTCACATCAAAGAAAACAGTATTGTGATTGGCATATCGATCGGAAGGGTCAATCCCCTCAAACCTCTGAGGGAACTGGACATAACAAATGCGGTCACCTCCTCGATCCATCATGAAGCACATGCCTTCCCTCATTGCCTGGGAGTTGTAGATATAGTGATCGCAGTCAAGGTTCAGAATGAATGGGCCATTGGACATAATTGCAGATGCCCGAACCAGGGCATTCATGGCACCTGCCTTCTTATTGTGATCATAGCCTGGGCGCTTCTCACGAGAAACGTACACAAGCAATGGGAGACGAATATCAACATCAGTGAGATCAATAAGCCTATCATCAGCAGTTCCATGCAATGGTTCATCACTAGGAGGTTTCAACATCACCTGTGCCATCAAAATTGAAGAAATTAAAAAAGGAAATGTCAGCATCACGTTATCAGTTTGTCTTGACTACACATTTCCATCAATGGAAAACCTCTGAAAACTTGTTATTACCAATCCAAAGCACAACAAATGGTGAAAATATGTTCATACAATCTACAAGTTGAAAATATCGTTAGATAAAAAATATACCTGTATTATACCAGCATGATCACCCCGAGAGTGCTCAGTTGCTGGATTCAACCAAGTCCCAGGCCAATGAGTTCCATCAGCCATCCACGTCGCTTTTGGTATCTTCACACTCTCTACAGGTTCATCTTCCCTGTTCTGTCTCTGAAGCTTCATTGCCTTGATTTCCTCCCTTGCATGATAGGCATCAGACCTACGGCGGATGGAATCTGGCAAACTATTGATCCGGACCTTGAATTCATCATACTCACGTTTAACTCGTCGACGGTCCTTAACAAAATCTTGTTTGACTTTATTCTTGTAAGGATCCCTCTTCAGATTGAAGTAAGATTCTGGATTCCTGGGTTCAATATCATGTTTACGGCAAAATGGAACCCATATATTAGCAAAACTCGCTGCTTCAGCCATGGCCTCAAAGGTTAAAAGTGCTCCTCCATCATCAGAAACATAACAAGCAAGTTTTTCAACAGGGAAATCTGCAGCTAGAATTGACAAGATAGTATTTGCTGTGACAAGAGGTGGTTCTTTTTCTGGATCTGCAGTAGAGACAAAGACATCGATGCCTGGAAGGTCAGATTTTCCAGTAGGGTTGTTAGGGGTTGGTGTTTCAAATTTGTCCTTCAACACATTAAGGTCTGTAGCACGATTGATTGGGCTGAGCTTGGGCAGTTGGTCAAGAAGCCATGAAAAAGCAAACCAAATTTCACAAACCACAGACATTCCCCATAGCCAAATCGCATCATTGTTTGGATGGTTGACCCTCCAAGCCAAAAACAATGCAAGGACAACAACTCGCAAAAAAATTAGAAGCCTGCAAGCATACATGACACAGAAAGCAAAGTTTTAAGGTAATGATGAAACTCATAGTGTTACCAACAACAAAGTCATGAATCATGAATGCACATGAAAAACTCTTAAGTAGAAATAGAAATGATCCATGTCTTGTCAAACAAAACTAAGATGAACTATTGCAACAGGCAACAAGTAGGTAAAAGTTCTGATGAACAGGCTGGTATAGCATCTAAAAAGTCTACCCATAACCTTGGCCCTGTTCTGATTTTTTAAGGACCACTGCGTGATTACACAAAAGTTGTATGTGAATACATACTACTAATACATATTTAAGTTACAATTTTGAAGCATTTTCATTTTCTTGTTTTTCAAAGTTACAAGCAATTTGATATAAATGATAGACAAAGTGAGATTAAAAAAACCATAAATGATATAAATTCACTTAATTTTCAGATAATTCATATCCTTTTCTAAGATATAACTACATAAAAGTTAAACTCATAAACCAGCAGACCCAATCATATGCAGTTTAATCTTTGAAAAAGAGAGAGAGGGAGAGAAAGAAAGGTTAAAATGTAAATGAAACAAAAAGGAGAGATAGGATTAACATAGTCAACTTCCTATGTTTATTAGTACGTTGTGCAATCATGTTAAGTTAGTGTGCATATGGAGGGCACTTGTCATTACCATACTAGCTTGGACAGTAATGTGGCAAAATAAAAGCTCAATTTTTCAGAGTAATTGTCATAGTAAAATCTAAAAACATAGAGAAGAAATATAACATGTGGGACGATCTAGAAATGGAGACTATACCGATATGGGCTGAGAACAGCTGCTGGTATTTTCAATTTCCGAGTAAGTGGCCTCCATGGTTTGCTCATCAACTCTGTTGGCTCAACAACTTCATCATCATTTCCATTTCCTAGATTACCATCCTTTGGCCATATAGCATTGCCATAACCATAAGTCCCTCTTGTCTCAAACAACCAGCGATTGTGATCAAAATCTCCTGTTTGACTCCTCATCAGCACAGACTTCGTCGACTTCATTAAAGACAACCTCCTCTCCATTTTGGACATTGTACCAGGTGGAGGAAGTGGAAGTGGCCTGGAATTATTATCCACAGCTGTTTCATCCAGATCTGTATTCTTATATGGTTCCTTACATCCAGGGCATATTCCACCCCCAGTTTTCACTGCATCAATGTAACAATCCCTACAAATTTTGAAATCACACTCGCATGGGAGAATATCCACACCACGTTCATCACTCATCACCTTTGCATCACACCCAGGAACTGCACACGAAGATCCTTTTGCACCAGCCATCTGAGGATGGCTTGCTTCAGACTCAATCACCTTGTCCATAAGATGAGCCCGTGTAACACTATTGAATCCACCGGTAAAAAGTGAATTCGACACGTATTGCTCTTCAACCTTCTGAGAAATAGAAGGGTCCATGGGTTGGTTGTCAGGGGTGGGTGGTATATGCACTGTATAGTTCATAAAATCACTACTGCCAAGCTCACTATCGAGATCATCCCTGGAATAGCTCACATAACGACCTGAGGAAGTTCTCCGCCCAAATCCCACAGTTGGAGGTATCGGAGGCTTATGTGAATCTGCTGCATCAGAGGAAATTGATAACGATGACCGGCTCCCTTTAAAAGACATTGATGCCATTTTTTAGCACCACCAGAGAATTATCCTTAGATCCTGAATTTCCATAATATAAGAAAAAATTATCACTAGATGCACTACTTGAGATTTCACGGTGGATAATCAAACATTGTAAAAGAAATCATATACTGAAAACTACAATCCGATCCTCTATTCGATTGCCAATATGATCCATGATTTGTGCATTTCAACATAGATAGTAAAGATATATAAATCATACGACTTTAAGTTCAAATTAAGTCAACATCTGAAAAAAAAAATTGAAGAACTTGCTTTACAATAACAGATCGTTCCTAAAATGTACAACAAGATTTTTAGCTGCCAAGAAGAAGTAACTTACAACAAGGAGTGGACTTTAAGCAAATCGTTTTCACTAAGCACGACACGTGAAAAACTTTTCCTGGGTTTCCCACAGTTTCTTAGCAACCAAACAAAAAAAAAAATCCTTACTTTCTTTTACAACACTAAAAACATCTCACATAACACCAAATCTACGCACGGAAAATCAAAGAAGAAAGGAAGTAAACAAAGACAAATTACTATACCTCAAAACCAAATCTAAAATTCAATCCCTTGAAAAAAAAATCCAAGCAACAAAGCACTAAATAGCCAAAATGGTACCTCTAAAAACCCAAATAAAAAACTACACTTCATCCAAAACCTCATATTTTCCCGCTCTTGCTCCCACATTTTCCCATCAACCAAACAAGCAACCCCAAGAAAACAAAAACCAACCAAAACCCAAATTCCCTTTAAGGAAGAAAAGACCAAAACATGTCCAAAACAAAGCAAAAACAGATCTTAGACTTGACATTAGCAAGCATAGTTAAAAGCTCACCTTTTTACTTCTGTATACTTTATAAAAAAAAAAAAAAACCTGAAGTCCTTAAATGGATTTTTTAGATCCCTTGTCTTTGTCCAATCTTGACAAGGCCTTATCTGAGAGCCTCTTAAAAATCAGAACAATTCAAACTCTTTTTTTTTCTATGTTTCTCTCTTCTGTTGGTCTCCAATTGTTGTCTACTAAAACTTGTAGGAAGAAAAAAGAAAAAAGAGACTGAGTCTTAAGAAGCAAAAACTACAAGCACTAAGACAGCACGATTGGTAGACTTTGTAGTTATTTTACGTCATTAAAAAACTGAAAACACGGCATGTTTTTTGCATACAGCTTTAGCTGAGTTGGGTTATTGTAATTGTAATAAAAAGAGAAGTTCCTTCGTAATGGGTTTTTAATTGAGAAATGGTGAGGTGAAGAAGAAGAGAACGTGTACAATGAGTTGGTCTCTAGTTGGATCGCCGGCTATTGAAAAAATTTAAAGACTTCCCTGACCTGAGTGTTAGATTTTGTTTGGTCTTTTTCTTCTTAGTTTTATTGGGGGTTTGGAGTAGGTGTTAGGTGTTGATTTTGGACAAGATGGAGAAAAACTATTTGCCTTCTTATGACCCAAAGGTAAAATGCAAGGGTTTAATGGGAATTTTAGTAAGAATGAGAAGATAAGATAAAGGGTATTGAAGGCATTTTGGTGAAATGGGAAAGCTTTTCATTTTAATAAAAATGCAATGAAAAAGTTTTTCTAGAATGCGAGGGAATATCCATCCATCATTCTTTGTTAGATTTTGCTTTTCTTTTTAATCGAAAAGGAAAAGAAATGGTAAAAGATGAGCATCAAAATTGACATATTGATTGAGATCATGGGTACATAAAATCTTTTTGGTTTCCATGGCTAATGTCTTTATTCATTGCAAACCATTGTAACACCAACTTTGAATGGATAATGTCAGAAATTCTTAATTGAGAGCGATATATATATATATGAACAAAAATAAAAATGGTTGACGAAATAATTATTATCAATAATACATTTGTAATATTGATTGAAACAATTTGTAATATAATGCTTATAATGCTTAGACAAAAAATTAAAAGTATTTTAGACGAGATTTATTTGCTCGAGCTTACTTGGGTTTGAATTAAAATATTATATAATTAATAAAAAGTATTTTTTTATTTAGTTTTACTTTTAAATATATTTAAAAATATTAAATATTATATAAAATAACTTTAAATTTTTAATATTATTTAAATAATATTGAAATTATTCGGGTCTGATTGGACGAAGTCGAATATTGGACAAAATTTTTTGAAAGGCCAAGTAGATAGGATGCCCATCCCATGAACTCTTCTATTAAAAGGTTGACAAGTTTATTGTATTAAATGTACAAATTTATAAAAAAAAAAAAATTTTGGAGTGGAACGAATTTTACTCTTGTGTATAAACAAAAGGGTGAATTTTTTAGATTTGATATAGCTCGAGGGGCAAGGCATGCCAGCATCGAGAAAGATTTTAATGAAAATTTTTAAGTAAAATTTATAAATTTTTTTATTAAAAATTATTTAAAATTTAAAATTAAAATCAATAAATTAAAAATTTTTATTATATAAATTAAGTCTATAAAAATTAAAAAAAATTTAATGTATTTTTTAAATAAATATTTTTAATAAAAACATTAATAAAATTTTTACAATTAAATAAATATCAATCAAATTTAAATTATAAATAATATTTTTAATAATTTTTAATACATTAAATCGTTATATTAAATTTTATCAATCATTTGTTTGAATTTTTTTATTTAAATTTTTATTATTAATTTTTTAATTTTATAAATGTCACCTGAAAGACTTAAGTCATCCCTAAATATAAAAGAACTAAAGATTGATGTGACTCACCATGATGAATGTAGGGCTTAAAGAGCATTAATTTTACTTATAATAAGATATTCAAACATGACTCCTTTAATCATATGAACTTGTCTTGATTGTTATTAGGTTCAAAGTAGAGCCCTTCAAACTCTCTTTTTCTTTTAAAGATTCAAACACAATTTTCAACGAAAAATATATATATTTATTATTGAATTAAATGATCAAACATTAAATTCTTTTAAGTTTAATTTGGGTATTAATATGAAAAGTCAATCACATAAAAAATAATACCCAAATAAGCTTTTGAACTTCATTTTTATAATTTTTTATTGTGTAAAATTAAGACTATAATTTTTTATTTTATTATAATTAAATCCTCAATGGTATAAAATATTTAAATTTTTGTTAAAATTATTTTAATTTAATGATTTAATTTATAAAAAATAATTAAATTTATTTGGATAAACTTAATAATAAATAATTCATTTTTAATATTTAATGATTGTAATTACAATTAAATAAAAGTTTATAGCATTAAATTTATGTAATAAAATAACAATGGCTTGTTTGTATTTTAGAATAAAATTAAATAAATAAATAATATAATAATATCTTCAAATTATGTGAATCTAAAATTTTATTTTTAAACTCACTCTCTAATGAGATGAGTAACTTAATTTATGAATATCTTTATTCGCGATAATTTTTTTTTTACAAACTCTATTTGTTATAGTTTAAAAAAAAGAAAAAAAAAAAAACCTTGGATTACATTAAAAATTATTGTATAAATATATAATAATTTTTTTATATAAATTAGATCATTGTCAACCTAGATTATATTTGAAATTAATTGCGCACGTTCACCGTAGGTGCCGTACTTAAAATCTTTGTGTCAGTCCACGCAAGACATCCATGTGGATGTCACTCCGGCACGATTTTGGTCCATGTGGATTGGAACTCAAAATTTTTATTTTTATTTTTTGTCATTTATTTTATGTTACAAATATGGAAATGTTCTTTTGATTTATTTATTTTATTTTTTAATTATGAAATATAATAAAAAATATTACAATATAATAAAATAATAAATATAATATATTATTTTATTAATTTTAGTTATTATTTAATAAACAAAATTATTATTAAAAATTTATTAAATACACTAATAATAAAATTTTTAAACTCCACAATTGGAGTAAAAAAGGTAATGCATGCTTTTTAAGATATATTTAAAAAATAAAAATTAGATATGTGTTAATTTTTTAATATCATTTGTGAATTAAAATTTTATATTGATAATATATTAAATAATAATTAATTATTATTTATCATAATATAATTTAAAATTTTACAATTATTTTTAAATTTTATAAATATTAAATAATTTAAATTTTTATTACATACAAATTTTAATATAATATCTTTACTAATTATTTTTTTAACTTCAATTTACCTCCTTCTCACTTTATATTTACATTTAAATATATATTTATTATTATTTTTAATTTAATTATTATAATAATTAATTTCACTTATTTTTTACCGCACTAAAATCGATTTCAAAATCCCCAGAGGGACGATTAAAATCTCGAAGCGTGGTTGCTCAAAGTGTAAACGTGTTGACAGTCAAAGGCAAGTTGTCATGTCGCTGTACTGCATTCAAAATTTCTCGATCCTCTATGAATGCAAACATAGATATTAACTACAATCGTTTTCTTTTGGCCTCTTAAAAGCCGCCAGCTGCGTCTTTATATTAACCTTTCTTATGATTGGCTCGTTACTCGGAAAAGTGTTTCCTGTTCCTTTATACATTCGGGTTCCTAAAGTGCCCTTTTGCAATTATTACAGGTTTATTGTTTGATTTCCGAAACAGCCATGGGATTATGGATTTATTTACAGAAGTGCCAATGAAATCTGAATGCGAAAAGGGCGGAATTATAATCGAGCCCCTGTGTGGCTCCTTTCCTCTTTTTTTAAAAAATGTTTTTTTATTAATTAATTTTTTAAAAAATCAAAAAAATTATAAATATTAAAATTTGAATTAAGTATATCTTTTAAAAATAAATATATAAATTTACTGAATTAAGTCTCCAATTCTAATTTAAGTATGAGTAACAATAAACATGAATTGATTATTTATCAATCTTTAAGATACATTTGAATGAAAAATTTTAAAATTTTAAAATACGTCAATTCAAAATGAAAGAATTTATAATTATATTTTATGGATAATTAGTTTCAGAAAAAAATAAATATTGAAATTTGATAAGATAAAAAATAATTAGATATAAAAGACCAAAATACTTAAAAATATATGCATAAGAGTGTCATTAGATCTGTAAAATTGTATAGATATTATTAATAATAATAAAAAAAACAAAATTTGTGTAAAAAATAGTAAATGTTAACTTCTTATTATAAAATTAATAAATTTCACAAATTCCACCTCCTTAGGTGATTTGAAAAAAGAATTTAAGCCATCCAAAACTCCTCATTCAAATTTTAAGAATTTTGACAATTCTAATTTTTATTTTGTCAATCAAATTAATTTCATTTTAGAATTTTTAAAATTTTTTTACAAATTAAAATTTTCTTCAAAATCTCTTATCCAAACGTACTCTTAAGGATTAGATTAAATTTAAATAAAAACATAAATTTAGTTAAGGTGTAAGAATATTATTATATTTATAAATAACATAATTTTATTTAATTTTAATTATAATATTAATTTAAAAATATTTTAAATATTTTCATAATAAACATTAAATAAATGACAAATTAGATCAATGCCAACATAATTTTAAAATTTTAAAAAATCAATCGAATTCAATTTATATCAAATTGATTTATATAGACATCTCTTATTCTCAACATACATGTTTGTGAATTGAGTTGAATGAGATTCATGTTATAAATTAATATTTTTGAAAGTTAACTTTGATCCAAATCCATCCGTTACATAATATTTTAATTTTAAATTTTTGAAAAATAATTTTCTATTTATATTTTAGTAACACTCTCTCGTTGGATTAGATGGGTCCTAAAAACATATAACCAAGCAACAACCGAGTCAATATTTCCAATGGAGTAGTAATTATGGTGCCTCATCCCCTTTATCACGGTAAAGTTAGGGACAATCTCCAAAATTTAATGTAAGAGATTCAAAATTAAAAGAAAGAAATTAATTAAAAATAAAATGATTGACCTCAATTGAGTGAGTGTTATCATTTTACTTTCCTCTCGTTGAAATCCACTTGTTTTTTTTTTTAATTTCTCTATTGTTTTTCTAAAAATAATAAAAATATTTTCTTTCTTCTAAGTTCTAACATGTTTTTTTTTCATTTTTATCGAATACCGTTGCACTTAAAACTACTATTCGAATGAAAAATAATATTCGTCTCCGTTATTTTTGTTATAAATTTTTATATTTTTTAACATTATATATAATTATTGGTTTGATTGTAATAATTTATTTCTAAATTAATTGATTTACTTATGAATTGGCATACCTCACATTTAAATTATTACTTGTAAAGAACAAATTGACAAAGGGGCAAACAAAAAAAATATTATAAGAATCAGTTATTACACGTCAATATAATTTGAATATACGAAACGTAAGTCTATATTTATATCGGTTAAAAAAAATAAATTTGTAGATTTGAGAGAAATCAAATTTTTTAAAGGTAAACAACAAAATATATAGATACAAGTAATAAAAAATAATATAAATATTAAGAAAATAGATAAAAAGGTTATTTTTTATAAAATTGGGTTGTGTAAGAAAATTCAAAATTATGATTTAATATAATTTTTTTTGTACTTTTCATTCAATCAACCCAAAAGTCATGAGATATAAGAATTAATTTATTATTATTATTATTGTATTTTTACAAATTATATGTAATAATTAATGGTAAATATTTATTTTAATAGATTCATGTATGTAATATATAATAAATGATTAATTTTGTTTTATTAATGTAATTACATTATATGATTTAAATGAAAAAATAAATATGAACATAAAATAATTGTTTCATATAATTTCAGTAATCCAATTAGAAAAAATAAAATAACAAATTTACATTTTTGAAATAAAATAATTTTTTTACTTTGAATGAGTCTGATAATGACACGATAACTATTATTAATGCTAACCATGCGTGGAGGAATGTCCACTTAGCAATATGATTGCAAAGGTGACCACAAATTAAATATACAAATTTATTAGAAATTTTAAACTTTTATTATATTTCAAATACAAATTAATATAGTAAAAAATTATCTAGTATGTTATAGCGTACCCTAGGTTCTAGCCTAGACACAACGCTCAATAAATTGGATTTACCTAATAAAAGAAAAAAATAAATATTTATAAGTGATTTCTTCAATTTATCTTTTTAGACGAAAAAATTTTAAATTTAAATTTTATCGATGTTTATTTATTAGAATTATCTTAAATATATTATTTTTATTATTAAAATTATTTTAAATACACGATTTATAATTATTTATCTTATAATATCAAGTACGATACATTTTATTTTGACCTAAATAATTAAATAACTTATCTATTCTCAAATTTAAAAAAAAAATTACAATTTGAATCCAAAGTTTTGTTATAATTCATATGGTTATTCTTTAAAAATGATATCCATCGAATCAAAAATTTAAATTTTTATACTTACAATTTTTTCTTTCCTTAGGCCACAAATTTTTTTTTCAAAAAAAAATTTTGCATTTCCTAATGGAGTAGAAAAAATTTTCAATAATAATTTTTAAAAGCTTTACATAATTATGTGCAAGTTAAAACGAGCAAAATATAGAGTAAAAACTTTTTTTATTAAGAATGTAAAAGAAAAAAAAAACTAATAGCTTTACATACAATTTCTTGTTCTCAATTATCAAAAGTTTTTTAATTAAAAAAATTTAATCTCTTATTATATTAATCATAAAAGAAGGAATTTTAAAATAGTTTGTCTTCAATTTTTTCTTTTCTTTTCTTTTCAATTTGTATGAAATTTTATCATTTTAATTTGATTCATTCAATTTTTATATTTAAATTATTTGCTTTTTATATATTATTTTAATATAATTTTTAATATATTAAATAAATTTAAATATAAAATATTTATTTTATTTTATAAAAAATTAAAATATGTATAAAAATTAATAAAAATATATAATTTAATTCAATTTAATTTTTTTTAATTTTTACTTCTTGATCTAAAATTTGATCTTAATTTAATATATATATATTTAATATTTAAATTTAATCTTATATGAATAAAAAAAATCTAAACCCAATTAAATATCATAATTTTAAATTAATTTTTTATTTTTTCAAATTTTTTACCCCTCTTAAAAATTACTACAAAGTAAGGCCCAATTATGTTTTTAAATATTATATATATATATATATATATATATAAATAAAATCACATTTGAAGATAATGAAAGGAGTTACAAGTTTTAAAACTTGAATTTTAAAACTTTTGAATATAATTCTTAAAAGTAATTATATATATTAATTGAACTAAGTTTCGATTCTCTGCTTTTAACCCTTTTTCATCGTTAAGGTAGTAGCAACCTAGGCATATGCTTCATCGTGTCTTCATGTGCATTACTTGTTTTTTTTTTTTTTTTTTTTTTATTTTCACACCTCTATCAGTAACCTATGATAATTAAACTCCAATTCAGGCTGAAAAATGGATATCCGTTTGGAATTGGCTTGCAGTTGTAGGCCCAAATTCAACCTAATGATAGAGGCTGCCTTCCATATATTTCTCCTTTCTCTCCCCACTAACTCAATGGCCAACCATTCATTTTTAACACAAATATTCACAATTAGCTAGTACGATCTAATGTATAAACACCTCTAATTCTTTAAAAAAATTCAAACAAAAATATAATAAATATTAATTATTTATAATATATATTCCATAACTAGTACGAACTAAGAGAGATGTTAACGGGTGTGACTTATAATCCTAACATCTGCAATTATTTTTTCTATTTTTAGGTTGCTACTTCCTTTGTTTAAAATATATATATATATATATATATATATTTATAAGGGATGGAAAGAGAGACTACCCGAGTTAACAGAAGAGACGATGAAAGCAATCACAATGAGAGACACAATTATGAAAGAATTTCCCACTGTCATCGGAGAGAAAATAACTAAAACTCTTTTGATAGGGGATTAATCACCTATCATAGAAGAAATGAAACATACGAATAATACACTGCTAAAGAAACCCTAGAAAGGAGAAAAATAATCATAAAGCTAAAAAATATTATTACTAAGGTACAATATTTAGAAGCTTACTCATGAATGCATGCATGAGATCATAAGTTTTGATGACCAATCATATCTTATCTATTTAGGTTTTATAGCTAATATGATATCCGATGAATGGTTAATCATTTGCATGTATTTGACTTGATCTTTCTTTTTGTGAAAAAATTTGCTGTCAGTCAAGGAAAAAAGTCAAATTGGGTGATGAAAAATTGTATCTTCCAAGTAGTTAAAAGTTACTTGTTACCTTGCAAGTTGAAGATTTTATCTACCTCAATAACACTCTTCATCTCTGTAATTTGTTGTTGACCCAAAAAGGAAATTTCAATTTCATGGGGGAAGAAAAACTTTTTAAGATATCTTGCCACAAAATTGAAGTTTTTAGAAAATAAGTGTATCTTATTTGGGAGACGAGGGCTAGACCATGTGTTTGATGGAAACTATATTATATATAGTTATATATTCATCCCTCCAGGACAAACTTCATCTTACAATCTCCAAATTCATTTTCATTTACCATACTTGATTCCCTCTCTGTCAAATTTCAATTTACTACTAAAATTTTATGAATGGAATATACATCATGTTTGATTAAACTTTGACTTCCTACAAGTTTGTTATAAAATTATAATAAAATATAAATAATAGACAAATAATTATTAAAATGAAAAAGGGAATATATCCAAAAGAAAGGAATAAAAGGGCAAAAATCAATTCACTTTAACAGTCTATGTGGTTCTTAAATTATAATGTTCATTTAGAGGTGAAAAAATAAAAATATCAATTTCACCCAGTGAATTTAATATTTTATTCGAATAAAGATAGATATGGATATTAAATTTTATGAAAAGATATATGAATGAGTATAATTTTAAAATAGCAATAAAGTATCCCCATACTTATACCCGACATATATATATATCTATTTATTTATTTGTATTTAATAAAAATTTTTTATATTATTATAATTTTTTGCGTTCATGGATTATATATTTTTTTGGTAGAAAATAGGTTATATTTATTTAATAATAACCCTAGAAGCTTTACTTTTGATTTTTCTTAATAATGGTAAATGTTTCTACAACATAATTTTCAACAAATTACTTCTGACTTATGAATTTCCATTTGATTAATTTTTGTAATTTAGATTTGTATTTGTTTTATTGCAGTTATATATTGTATTATTGTATTCTAGAATTGATGTTGTTTACGTTTGTACGTGAAAAATGAATAAATATTAAATATTTAAATGTTTATTTTTATCTTTTTAATAGAAACAAGAAACATGGATTCTTCGTGCCCACTAGATATCCGTGAGCATAGGAATGGATATAAATTTTTTCGAAGGTGAATATGAATACAAAAATGAAAACAGATTAAAAATTTAAGAACAAAGACAAAAAAAAATATTATACCCGACCCATTAATATCCCTAAGAAAAATGAATCCAAACAAAAAAAACCACCCGAAAATACTCGAGAACTCGCTTAAATTTAATTTGACTAGAAAAGTCAAAAACCCTAATCCCAGAAAACTCAAACCCAAAATGACCCAAAACGAAATACTACAAACTTGAAAAATCCGAACTCAAACTTACCCATACTCAAAATATATGATAGTTACATTGTGTACATAAAATCTAAAAAATGTCTTGACCAATCCAAACCCGAAAGGATCGAAACCTCAAATGACCCAAATCCTAAAAGATCCCATTATGAAACAACCCAAACCAAAATGACATGAACCCAAAATGCCAGTGGCTCCCAATTGCCACTTCTACTTTCATGATTCTTTTAAGTCAAATTTTTAATTTGCACTCAGTGATCCACCCCCTTTTTTTCCATTAATTTTAATTTCCATCACAAGAAACAAGTAATAAAAATAAGAATGGAACAGAAAGAAATGGATAGAGGAAGCAATACGCATGCACGAAATGATATGCAGCAAAATCAATATCAAACAGAACAAATTTGGATTGGATGAATTCTTCATGAATCTAACAGCAGCATAAATGTAGAAGCTATATTTAATCACAAATATTAAAATTAATTAATATGTTTTTAGAGGCAGCCTTATATATATATATATATATATATATATAATATGTTTAAAGAATGATTCCTGCACACAGCAACTTCAATCAGAGCGAGATCGATCAGACAAAGGATTGGAACTGGTAATGTTGCCACGCCTACAATCACAAGTGCAGACAATCCTTGATTCTTTTACGACACGCTGTGATCTCCGAGTATGAAGCTTGATGTTCACCAACTTACCGGCAATCTTTTGCGAACAAGAAATATATGGTAAATTAGTAGGAGTATGCTGAATTAAGTAACATCAAGCATCTATATAGACAAATATTAAGAACATAGAAAACATCAAATGCTTGACCATTAGCAGTCATGGCTAATGCTAACAGAACCATTTCTGTACAGGCAGGCAACCTCATATGCAGGAGGTTAGGCCACTGGACTTGTCAAGCTATTTAAGCAATTAATAATTATGCGCTCATGTATCTCAGGCAATGAGATAGTATCACTACTGCCATCCAAGAGAATTTATTTTATATTAATTAGTTTTTTTAAAAGAAACAAGTCTAAGCTCAGAGCAACAAACTTCAGCATTATTTCTCCGATATAATAACCCAAGATAAAAATATAAGCTAAAACTTTTGGTGAACAGTAAGTTACAAACCATTCTCCAAACTAGATCTTCTGGACCCAAGGGTTGAGCTGGACTAGAATACACGAAATGCCTGGAGTACTGGAAAAATGAAAACAAAAATTTTCATTCAAATTAAAATTATAAAATATTGTACCAGTTAACATTATTCTACTAATTTAAAAGATGAAAGATAAGCAGGATATTTGTAAAGCACATGCAACTATCAATAAAACTTAACCTTCAGGTAAAAAAATAATTTTCAGAGGCATAAATAGATAAATCTTCAAGAGATATCAAGATTTGGTTTCAAAAGGTGAAATGAGAGTGATATTCCAAAAATGCCAAAAGTCTCCTCATCTACAAGCAAAATAATTATAAGAGGCATAATGCGATTGACATTCAAATGATGCCTGGTTTTGGCTTGAAATTGAACTAAGAGTGTTAGATCAAATACTAAAATTTTCTCCCCAGGTGCAGGCATGGATAACATTAGTAAAAATTTGTCTTTCCTTCTAACCAATGCGCAAGGTTAAGGAACAGCAATTCTAAGGCACGATCAAAGCATGCAGACTTTGCAATCACAAACCTTTACAAGGTTCATCCTCATTTCTCTAATTTGAGTAGAGCTAATGCCTTTTAAAAATCTTAGAAGCCAACCAGGTTGCACAGCATCACTTGAAGAAACAAATATAGCTATCTGCATGAAAGGTAACAATAAAAATAAAATGTCAGGTAATCTAAATGTCTAATATACTTAAATTTACGACACCACATTGAACTCCTTGATTGCAGCTTAATCAGCTTCAGTGTAAAAATTAATTCATGGATTCTTTAAATGTTTTAATAGATTCAAACAAATTAAGGAGGAAAAGTGATACCATTAAGTATCCAGGTAACCGAAATTAAATCTCAAATGGTACAAAATTTCCTAGAATATGGAATCAAATAAGTGCATATCATTGTCCCAAACACTACATACTGGCACATGGCATGATACTCTTGGACACAGATAAAATAAGAATTCAAAATATCTATTCTGCAGAAACTCTGTTAAAATCTGTTCATCTTTCTCTGGAACAAAATGACCCTTGACCCTGGACATGGATTTAACAATGCCATATTCAAACATATCTGAGATACATACCAATACCATACTACCCACCAGCAAAATTAGATTACGCATTCAAGCTGTATGTGTAGCACAGAAAACTAAATTGCAGCATGATCATAAGGTTTATCCGATCATTGATGCATAAATCAAATAAACATGACAAAAATAACCAAATTTATGCATGAATCTGGTTCTCAATGATACGAATGATGATTCCACAGATACTGCCCACTGATACTAAAGAAATCATAATCATTCACTTCATGCAACATGAAATCAAGGAGGCATTCTATCTTAAACCTTAATATAAAGTAACAGGTAAAAGCATAGAAAATTATTCGAATAAAATTTCAAGCAACAACTTTCTGAAAATGATAAGAAAGAAAATAACAAATTATCTAAACAGTGAAATTAGGCACTAAATTTCATTCATGTGAGAAATAATACAGGAGGCAGATTTCCAACTGACTCTGATCATTAACTATCTATAACGACAGCAATAATGTTTTAACCTATATCAATAATACTCTCCTAATCATATTATAAGCAACTTTTAGGCAGTCATTAAACAAAGTAAAAAGCATCCTCAAGGTAGCCCAATGCATCAAGGGAAAAGGAAGTAACAACTCGGCTTTGGAAACACATACATACCCGTCTATAATCTAGTATTCCTTCAAAAGGAAGTTCCAATTCATCACTAATAATAACAGGGATACACCCACTGACAATAGCATCAAACAATCTAGCAGAGGAAGGAGTGTCACCAGCTGGACTTAAACAAAATATAGACCTGATGACGAAGGAAAAAACACAATCATTATGACAAAGCAGGAAGTGAAACACTGAGAAAGAGAACCAGCTAATCTTACCTGCGCATCCCCTTCTGAGCGGCAGCTTTCCCTCCCTCCCCAGCGGTTCCCTCCTCTATCACTACATCTTTGGCACCTGTTAATTCTGCTACAAGTTTAGCACGTATCTTTCCTCCCTGAAAAAGAAGAACTACACAATAAGTAGCCAAAAGATCGTATTAGATATATTATAATTATATTAGCATGTGAGACACAGGAGAGAGAATGTTTGAGAGAAAACAGGTAATACTATTCTCTGGTCAACTGTTAAAAAAAGGGGAGGATCAGGAAAAGGGAACTTTACTAACCACCAAATAAATAAAAACTTTGGTCAATTAACTTTTCAAGGAACCTATATAATCTCGAAGAGGAAATTATAGAAAAAAATAAGTATTTTTAGATAACTGTGTTTTTACTGTCACTAATTTTTTAGTGCTCCAATTCTCTACCTTTCTCTCACTCTTAAGCAGGCACACACAGACACACATACAGGAAAAAAGCCCAAGAAGGCATCTTTTCTTACTGTTTCACCTTCTTCTGTTTAAAAAGGATAAGTTGGCAAGTCTTTGGATTAGACGTCCATCTTTGAAGAAAAGCGAAAAACACATAGGATTATAGTGATTACAACAGCCCCTTCCCCCTCTCCCTCCCTCCAATATTTATTTCTTGTTCTAACATTATTGTGTTTGGAAAAAATTAAGTAAGCATGTTTCTGAACTAGATCTCTTGCGTACACATGCATAGAATAAGACCAACATATTATGTTCCTTCCTTCATGTTCTACCAAATTTAATGAAAGAATAAAAAATAATTATTAAAAAACAAAAGAAATCAAAAACTCTAATAAGACAGTCAAAACTCTTACAGCATTTCTTTTAAGCCGTCCACGGAAGAAAAGCAGTGTGGTTCTCTTTGATTCACTTTCTGATACGCATTTTGTATCACATAAATCAACATTCGGAACATAAGGGAGAATGAGGTCCTTCTCCAGTGAAACTTGCCCTGGCTTGTACCTAGGATGTTAAAATATATCACTTTTCAGAAGATGAAATGACTAGTAACTTCATAAGTTCAATCTTGTTTGCAAAAGTCATATAGTTACCAATTCCCAGTGGAGTCCATATCTGGTAAAAGCCATATTGCATTTTTCACATATCTGCGAACTGACTTAAAGGACCATGGATGATGAATGGGAAATATGTGATCCCTTCCTTCAGATCGTTTCCATGCAGGCTGATCTGTCACCCATTTCAAGGCATCCTGCAACCATAGGAAACAAAAATATAGAATAAATAAATTCTAAAATTTAATGGCACAGTTGGCCATATAAAACCTTACAGAAGAAGTTCTTGAAGGGAAATCATGCATTATTTTGTCCAATGTATGTTTCCCAAAACCTTCTCAATTAGAAAAATTGAATTAACAAAGGATAACATAATTCAAGAAATAGAAGCCAAAACTATGATAGGATACCCCAATCAACCTGTTAATGCAAATTTGATCTTGAAAGTTCAGCTTAATGACAGCACAATATTCAGAGTCACTCACACACAAACAACTAAAGTCTAAAACATGCGGCAAACTCCATATAGGACCTCAAAATGCATAGGACTTGACCTGATTATGATTATCTTTACTTGTCGTATCTCCCTTTGAAATCAAACACTCCATAAAATACATTTACCTAAATTTTCATTATTGACAAACCTGAACAACCCACCAAACACGACAGAACATCAAACAGACTTACCACAGACATGAAAAATTACACCAAAGAATAGGAATGGAATGAAACACATTTTCTAAATAATTAAAAACATAGTAATACGAAAATGTAGAGATAAATATTATAAAACATGGAAATGCACTCACACCCTATATAAAGCCTTGCATTGTTGCTTCTCCAACAAGAAAAAGCTAATGGTGGTAAAGAACGGCACGTAAAATAAATCCGCCTCCTCCTGCCTATTAACTCTCACAACATTTTTCAATAGCCTTTCGGATTCCGGCGCAATCAAATCCGCCCAAAGCCAATAATCAATAGAATGCTGAACCACCAGAAAAAAAAAAAACAAATATCAAGAAAAATATAACAATCCATCAATATTCTGGTAAAAGAAAATTTCCCATCTATTTTATCAATTCTCTGAAGAAAAACAAACTCGACTAATCAAATCGAGAATCATCAACAGATTTCAATGATTATTTAAAGAGGAAGAGGAATTATTTTTCCACTTAAAAACTTGACAAAATTACCTGTTCGATTAAACGGTGAACGGGGCTGCCGTTGGAGGTGAGATTAGAAGTTTCTCGATAAGTATTTTGAAACAACCAAAGTAAGTCGTAGGTGAACTTCGTCGGCATTTCGTACACGTAAACCCTAATCGGCATATTCAGCGGGTAGTACGGATCTCCATACACCCACTCCATTTCCTTAGCGGACTTTCTCTCGTCGACTCTCCTGACGTCATCTTCGAGCACCGTACCCACTGTATCGTCGGAAGTCTGATGGTAGTCGGAAGCTTTGTGTGTAAGGAAGTGTTCGAGGGAAGCGACGAAGGAGGTTTGCGGTCGGATTTGCCGGTGCGGGAAGTGATGGGTGGAGGAGGAGGAGGAGGAGGGATCGGAGGGAGAAGAAAGGAAGAACAGGAAGGAGAGAGCGACGAGAGAGAGGGCGAAGAAGAGGAGGAGGATTGGGGATTTGGATCTTGTCAAGGTCGATGGGATTTGCTTCGCTCGCATTTTCTTCAAGGTGTCAGGAGTGAGAATGTGAGGAACTGTGGATAGAGCAAAGCTGGATAGCGTTATAAAACCAGATCTGCAGTTTTTAGTTCTTACATGCACTCGCCCAGAAGCTTAACTTACGCAATGATATTGTTTTTGAGAATTAAACAATCATTCCGATACAAATTCTCTCATCATCATCTAGATTTTATACTAAGCACAAATTGTAAGTAATAGATTTTTTTTTTATAAATTATGTCATATTTATCAAAATTTTATTTAAATTTTATATTTGTAAATAACGAGTTTTTTATAATTATTTAGTGTAATTGAATAATTATAAAATTATAATAAAATTATAAGTAAAATACATTAAAAAATAAAAATAAATGTAAAATTAAAATTCATCACGATTGATTGGATGCAAATACAATTATAATAATAAAATTATATATTAGATCGCCCAAACAAATCCACCGTCGCAATTAAAATCTATATTTTATTTTAAGTTTACATTAAAACAGTCAATCGCATTCCAATAATCGCAATTCCGACCATGTAAATGCCTACCACGATACAACCCAAATCCTAAAGCCGTCAATGAATCCGGGCTGATCAGTTCGAGTCAGGACTCAGGTCCAACTAGACAAACACTGAGTCGGGTCAAATCTTGCTCGGATCGAGTCCTGTTACACGAATAATAAAAATAAAGAAGCTGGCACAGAATTGGAAGAACTATGAGAAATGAATAGATTAAGTTCTTTAGAAATTTCGGATAATTATTAGCGTCACATTATTAATTTTGGCGTAAAATTGAACTAAATTAAGTTGAGCTCTTAACTGAATAGTCAAGCAGTACCATATCATCAAACGATGAATATGAGAGCCATACAGATCTATTTATTGTGCTAATAACAATCCTCCCATGTATACTCATCCAAATAATCAAGTAAACAAATCCAAACATGAATAATTTACACATAATTTGCAGGTACAACCAATGGTAGTATGTCAAAGATAAAACAAGTCCACAATCCTGTCGTGTGTTTTTACTGTCCAAACTTCTGCTCAATGCCTACAATGGCCCTGCATAGGCCTTCTGTCCCAAATTATGTAATAGCGTCCAAGAGCATTCAGAATGTGATAAGATCATCTTTTGGTTCTTGCTTCTTCTTTGAATCTTGCCCCCCTTCAGATGAAACCCCACTTTTCTTACCAAAAATCATTTCGTCAAGATCATCCATCATGTCATCATTGCTTCCACCACGAGTCCCATGTCGAGTACCTGCTGGTTTTCTAATCAAGGCATCTTCTTTTGCATGACGAGGTGAAACTTCAGGTTCAACAGCCACAGGAATCATAGCAGGTTCTGGCTCATGAGGAACCACCGATGGCTTCTTCAACTCTTCATACTTCGAGAGAGCTTTCTGGATCTCATCGTTCACATTCAAAGCTTCAAAAAGCAGGGCCTCATTATCTCCAGCAGTCTCAATGATTCTTAGAACAGATGACTGGGACCGACGACATTGCTGGACAAGCGTGGCTGTCAAGTCATCCTGCCAACAAAGCAAGCATAAATTACCGAGAAAAAAATGAAAAACAGTAACCCAATCAACCCAATAGAAAGTTGAAAACACAAAATACTTGAACTAGGTAACTAATCCACTTTCACACCTACCCTCTTTTTCTTTTCTTTCTTTTCTTTTCCTTCAACGTAGAGATGTCCCAAATCAAATTTGATAAAGTAGCAACAAAGATACTGAGTGAGCAAACCTACGAACTGCTTAGAAAACAAAAATTAACATACTAAGTAGGCTACAGTTTTGCTCTGCTTCATTACCTTCTGGCCAAGGGATTCATTTCATGAAATTCTACCAATATGAATAAATTAAATGCAAAACCACACTTCATTCTGAAAGGTTAAATCTGCATATGGTTCCTGCACCTTCAAATTGTAAATTTTTGCTAGAGCTGGGCTCTAACTTATAGGTTCTGAATCATATAGGCGTTGCTGCCACCTTAAGAAAGACTAAATGACCATTTGGAACATCATTATGATGTTATGACCCAAACTGGAATAAAACTCCATGTTATTGTGAATTTGTCATCTGTCTGTTACATTGTTGAAGATATTGGAAAATAAGCCCAAGTTAACTTACAATCAGAAGTCAGCAAACAGACCAATAAGTTTAAATCTAATTTGCTGATGTCATCTTATCACCACAAAGCATCACTTCTAATTTACCCGTCTAGCAGTGCATGAAAAACAAGTCCAAGACATCCCCTTCAAACCTTAAACTAAAAACTTGGTACCGTTGGAGCCATCATAATTCTCACCAATATGCATTATTGAGGGGAAAATGTCATATCCGTCAGCTATAAGCGTTCAAGTGCAACAGTCCCATACAGATCATTAGCAGATAGTATAACACATTTAAAAGCTCTAGAAAGAAAGTTATAGTATAAAAGATTTAAAAGCCCTAGAAAGTAAGTGATTTCCTCCTTGAAAATGAAGCAAAAGGCAAAATTATTGACTAATAAAATGATCTTATTAAAGGCTCACTACAGCCGACAGAATATTGAACATCCTTTAACAAAGGAATAGATTAACAAAAAACATCAATGACTCATTCAGCCAAGACTCAAAGTTTTCAAGGCTTGTTACTTGGCAGCAGAGAAGGAAGCATACTTTATTCGTAATATATGCATGAAGTTAGAAACTAAAAAGTGCAATAAAGAAGACAATAATACCTGAAGAGCATCTTGTTGGGGTGATGAGGATAACACAGTTGAAAGAAGCTCAATGCTGTTTCTTGCCACATCAAATGCTTCCTTTGTTTGTTCAGCAGTAAAGCTTTGGACAGGACTATCACGCTGAAGCTGCATGTCATGCAGAAGTTGCTGTGCAAGACTAGCATCCACTTCCTCCACTGAAACTGAACGAGTAGGGGTAAAAATAGGTGCCAAACTCTCATTGTCACGACCAGGAAAGCGAATACCCCTTGATTTTAAACTCTACAACAGAAAAAGGATCATTCGACAAAATCTAACAATTCATCAATCAAAAAGCCAAAAAATAAGGCTTTGAGTTTTTGTGGCAACATTGCACAGCATATTTAGAATGCATGTTAAATCCTATTGCAACTGAAAGTACAAATAGCTAAGGGACATTGACGTACACAGAAGTTCCTAGTCAAGAATTCAATTGTTTGAGAAAGCTTATTCAAGGATTTTCTAAATTTATCTTCTGATATCAATCAACCAAACAAAACCAAACAATAAAAAATTTTGCTCCTTTTTATTGAAAATTTTCCCATTCCAGGATTAAGTGAAGTTTTGTAGGCTAAATTGACTAAAATTCCAAGACTGTAACAGCAACCAAAAGAATAAATTTCACACATGACTTTCAATCAGATACACACCACAGGAAAACTAGTGAATGAAATTAAATAATCATGTTTTCTCAACTCGTTTCCAAAGCTGCAAAAACCAGATAAATAGTTCATGCTGTTACCTTGTAAGTTTCTTCGTAAACAGGTAAATAGCGGAGCTCACTGGTTGACTCCCCCCACGCTTCAATAAGCATCAAAGCTTTGTTTCGATTATTGACAACAGTCTGTGGATCATCAATTAGCTTAACCATCTCATCAAGAACCCTCTCAGCTGCCACTTCCGAGAATACCTTCTCGCAATTCTTGACACAAGTTTCAAGCAACACCAAGGACAAGTATTGAACCCTAGGGCTCTTCAACATTATCCTCCGCTTTATGCCACGGATCAATTCAACACTGCTCACTTTTTCATGATTGATCATGTCGCAGATATCAAGATTCAAGGCCCAATCAGGCTCGTCAAGGGCCTCTGATGTAGCATCCTCAACAAGCTTATCATCTGGGTTCGGGCCTTGGAAGAGTTCCTTCACCTTAAAGCTCATTGAGCTCATGCCAGCACTCACCTTTTTGCCCATCTCAGCTCCTTCAACCTTGAGGCGTTCACCAAAGGCACTAACCTTGTCCATCAAACTTTTGTCCATTTTCACCAAACCTTCAAAACACCAAAATTATAACTTGAATAAATGTCTGCAAGAAATAACTCATTCATCAAGGGAACAGAATCTTTAACATAACATTTCTTCCAAGTAATCTTCCATGAAAAAAGATAAACTCCCAAAAGCCTCAAAATTACATAAATGTTACAAAATAATCAAACAGAAATAACTATGATTTGCCCCATCATTCTTAATTAGAATAACTAAATATCTGATTTTGCTTCTTTCACTTTCTTCCCTATGAAACTTCATGCAAATCTAAAAATTGATATGAACAATTTTTAATAGCGTCAAAATTCTTCCAACCCCCCCAAAAAAGAGAGGTAAAAACCCTAATATCCAAATCAAAATATTAACTTCAAAACCTCAAAAAATTGAACAACTAGCTGACTAAAGAAATTACAGAAAAAATACATAATTTAAAGCAAATAACTCAAATAATTAAAAGTAAAGATCATTTTCCCTTCCATTTTAGCAGCAGTTAATATACAAAAGTAGCTGCATTAAAAATTTAAAAAAAAAAAACTCTTTCAAACCTTTAAAACCCCAAAAATCTAAACTTAAACATGCTTACATCAAAATAGTTAAAGGGATTGCTCAATACTAAGAAAATGTAACACAGAAACTTACAAAAAACTTAAGTTCATAAAGTCAACTGCTATATCATCTAAACCTAGATTCTAATTAATTCAATTTCAAAATCAGAAAAAGAATCACAGCAAAATTAAACAAAGAAAAGGAAAAAAAAATTCCATTGCTTACAGTTCTTGGTGAGCCGAAATTGATGAGATCAAGTAAATGAAAAAGCAAAACCCAGGGAGATTTTATGCAATTTAAAAATATAAACAAAATTGAAAAAGAGATGGTAATTATTTTACCTTTGAAATTCAATTGAAAAAAAAAGGAAACAAAACAAAAGAAGAAGAAAGCAGACGGCGACGCTTCACGACTCAGTAGAGTTGAGTTTTTTATGTTTCCATCGAGTTTCGGTCTCCCTCACAGACGTTGCCAAATATCAATTTCTTTTTTTTTAAATAAATATTGAGTATATTTGAAGGTTGTTGCCATTGCCCATTGGTGAAAAAAGGTAAAGCGACGTCGTAGTAGTTATTAATGCACCTTGCTTTTTTTAAAAAAAATTAGTAGGATTTATTTATTTATTAAATGATTAAATTTAATTACTTTTAATCTAATTTCAAATTAATAGTAGTAGCTAAAGATGTATTATCAAAAGAAGTATTAGTTAAGATTTAAGAATTATTACCTAAATCATTCAAAAAAACAATTATATTACCTAAAATATATAACATTTGTAGATAAATGTGTAATGACCATATTGATATTTAAATTTTTTTTTTATATTAATAAGATATTTAAAAATATCTTTCATTTAGTAATAAGTTTTACGAGCTTCTATTTACACTTTAAGAAAAGCTTTTTATACTTTAATTTTTATTACAAAAATAATTTTAAATAAAATTACTTAATTAACTATTAAGAAATTAAATTTGGACTTTTTATACTTATTTCTACTTCAACCTTTTTAAATTTGTATTTTAGAAAGTTTTTAAAAATTTTTTAGATTTTGTTTTAAGTTTTTAAATATTTTTTAGATTTTTTTTTACACATTGGATAAAAATTAGGGTTGGCATCGAGTCAGGTTCGGGCGGGTTTTGCTCACCCCGAACCCGATCCGAATTAATGCTTTAATAAACCCGAATCTGATCTTATTCAAATTTTTTTTTAGTTTTTCATACCCGATTTCGATCACGATCCCTGACCCGATACTATATAAACCGTACCCGATTCAATCCAAAATTAATAAAATATTATTTTTAAATATAAATATTTAAAAATATCATTATATAAATATATATAAATAAATAATAAAAAATTATTTATATATATCGGGTCGGATTTGCCTAAAATCCGACCCTAACTTTTTTTTCATGCTACCCAACCTGATACCCGATTTTTAAAATAAAAAAACTGATCCTAAAAAATCGGATCGAATCGAAATCCGTCGGTACAGATTTTTTATCTTCTCTAATAGAAATGAGGTTTGTTGGATTTGAACTCCCACCTTACATATTTTCTTAAGACTTCTTAATCACTAGATCAGTAAGTTGAAAACAAAAATAATTTTTAAATTTACATATCTAAAAACTTACAAAGGCATATGAAAATATAGTTTTAAAAGTCACAATTTTATGAAAAAAAAAATTACACAACTAAATTCCCATTCAATCATTTTTAAAAAATCAAATAAATTACTTTTATATTAAAATGCATGAGTTAAAACGGCTGATCTGGTCAAAATTTTGGCAATTGATAACCTTGATTTGAGTGAGAATCAAAAGTGAAAGAATAAAAAGAGTTGAAGGAATTTGGGTTTGAGGTGTAATTTAAGTGAAGGAGAATAGGAGATCAATTGGAATTTTATGATATATTTGATATATAAAATTATGATAAAATAAAATAAAATGATATTATGAATAGAATTAGTTACGAATAAAATTAGATTAAATAATATCATTTTATTTTATTATAAAGTGTTTAAAGATTAGAATATGATATTTATTTATTGATTAATTTTTTGTAATTTATATAATTTAAATTATTAATATGATTTTTAAGAGTATAGTAAAAATAAAAATTTAATCCCGTATATTAAAAATAATTATCTTTATTTTGAAAGGATTGAATTATCTTATACTAAAAAAAATATTAATTCTCTTTATAATTTTATTTTTTTAAAATTATCTTATATTCCAATTTTGACTTTTAAGGGTTTGGATTGTAAAAGTAGAAATAATGTAAGGAAGTTTGAATTTGGAGTATTATTAGAAATAAGATATGAAAAGTAATTTAGGATGTAAATATAAACACTCTAAATTTTATTATAGACAAATTATGAACTAAAATTTAAAGGATTTTTTGTTGAATGGTAAAGGGTCCTTAGACTTAATTCAATACATATTTTTTTCTTTTTGATTAAGACAAATTTATTTACTGTAGATCTAAAAAATTTATAAAAAATTATTCTTCTGTGGAATTTTAATAAATTTAAACTCAAACAATTAAAATAAAAATAAAAATTTTTATCACTTTTGATTATGCAGTTAAATATAATCCATAAAGATATTAAAATCAATTATTATCATGAAATAATGTGTTAAAATATTATCAATAAGTGATTGATTTAATTAATTAAAATTAATATTTTTTGATAAAAAAGTTTTGAGTTTGAGTCAGTGATCATTTATTGGGATCATTTCGAATGTATAATTTATAATCATTTATCTTAGACTATCAAATATAATATATTTTATTTTAATTTAAAGAATTAAATAATCTATCTATCATTGAATTTAAAAAAATATATATGTTAAAATATTTTACTATCAATCAAATATAAAATTAAAAAGACACCTATTTCTTTTACTTGATAAGCCTAATAAATATTTTAAAAAAGAAATAAAATAAATAAATATATAGTGTGATTGACTTATGGGCCACCAGCAATGATTAACAGACAAAAAATAAATTGTAAGTTCACCACGAATTAGATTTTTATCTTTTTTTTTATTTCGAAGATTCCAATTTTATTTTAATTTGTCAGAATTGTTGAAAATGCATTTTCCAAGTCGTGCTTGTTGGGTCGGGTTGTCTTTGCCCCGTTGACACGATTGGCACACTAACAAGCTAAATTTATTAATTATTATTAGACGCGGCCCTTAGAAACGGGTGATAATGATTGAGGTAGTACCTATTAATCATATAAAATATTAAAAAATTTTAAATTTTCATTTAATTTTATATTTATTTTTTAAAATTGATTGATTTAAATTTAATTTTATTAATTCAATTTAATTAATTATTTTTTAAATTTAATTTTAAATTTTTATATATAAAATAACTATTTTTTTGTTCATGTCATGCATAAATTTTTTTATTATATTTTTTATAATTTAAATTTTTAATTCATAATAATTTTTATATTATATATAAAAATATTTCTAATCATTTATAATTTGTAATTTAAAATTACAAAAGTCGTTTATATATAAATTATTATAAGAAAATTTAAATATGAATTATGAAAGTTTTGAATTATAAAATAAAAATTACATACAAATCTCAATAAGAAAATCAATATTTTATTTACAATTATATGCATTCTTAAAAGTATATAATATTTTAATATAAAAATTAAGATTTACACATGTGAAATATCATAAAAAACTTTTTATATTTGATTTTAAAATTTTATCTTGTCAAACTTTTATGACGAAAAATTTAATTGCTATATCTTTTATAAAAAAAATATTAATTGTGAGAAGAAATCATAAATATATATTTGATAATTATTTCATTTAAAAAAATTTAAATTTTTAAAATGTAGTTTATCCAAATTAATTTTAAATTAAGATAAAAGAGGTTAGTATAATTTTAAATTTAGATATGCGTATAATTATAAATTGAGATAAAATATTTTTTTAAATCATAAAAAATAAAAGTAAAAAATTAGTAAACAACTGTGGTTCAACCAAAAACTTTAGTTATTTAAATTTATGTAAATATTGATTTAGACAGTATATGATTTTTTATGATTCCTACGATTTAGAGATTTAACATTTAAAAACTATTTGAATTTGTATTTATATACATGGGTAAGAGTGAGGTATGAAATATATTTTTTCAGATTTAAATTAAAATAAAACTTATATACTTTGAAAGATTTGAATAAATGTAAATTTTTAAAACTTTAAATTTTTTTTAAAATTGAATAATTGATTAAATAAAATTCTTTAATACTATCTTATGTGTCAATAATATAAATTGTCCACCTAAGCGTCTATGTAAGTAAATCTTATCAGGTTTTTATATATGTTATAATATAATATTATATATGATTATTTTATTTGACAAAATTATAAAATATATAAAAATTAATAAAAATATATAATTCAATTCGATTTGGTTCAGTTTGAATATATATATATATATATATATTTTACTTTTGGATATAAAATTTGATCTGAACTTAATAAAAATATTTAATATTTGAACTTAAAACAAATCGAATTAGAAAATAATTGATTCAATCTATATCAAAACTACAAGTCAATTTTCGATTTTCTTGATTTTTTATTACTTCTAACCTTATGTTAGTTTTTTAGATGAAATGGTGATCCAAGAGAGAGGTGAATTTGATTTTTCTAAATTTTTTTCAAATAATGATTTCAAAATAATTGAATGAAAATTAAAACCAATATCAAAATATAATGCAAATAACAATAAATTGATGTATCTAGAGGTATATATAATCAACAATGAAAATAAAAAGATAGGGATAGAGAAATCAAACACAAAAATTTATAGAGGTTCAATCATTCTCCACAAGGCACTTACATCCTCTCTTTTTGGTTATCCATACCAAGACTTCAAATCACTAATCTTGAATTAAAAATACAACCCTATATTTTTCTAAGGTTTAAGATAAAAACATCTATCATTTGTAGTATTTTACTCAATCTCACTACAATGCTCTTAAAAGGATATCTCACCCATTGTTCTTTTCCACCCTTATATATCAAAGGTAATTTTGCAAATAATAGAACAACCTCTCTAAAGCTATGTGTTTACTAAGCTTATGTACAAGAAAATGATGAATGAACAACAAATATAATTTGAATACAATAAATATAAAGATATAAACTTTAAAGCTCTAAAACTCTTAATTTCTTTTAGAGAATAAAAATATAGCTTGTTGGTTCTTGCTCTCTTGATTCTTCAATCTTTTTGGTGCGTTGGAGTGCTTAATTTATAGAAAAATTAAGGAAATAGCCATTGAGAATGCATGGGAGAAGAAAATAGCCATTGAAGCTTGATAAACTAGCCATTGGAGATGATTTTGAGCAAACGCAATTGATCTATTTCCTAAAAAGATCGATTGGTTCATGTTTTAGAAGCCATTTTATGCCTTGCAAATGCATAACCCGATCGATCCCTTTATGTAGCGAATTGATCT